ACACGACAACTAACAATCAACCTGGATGATCGACGACAGTATCTATGAACGTTCGTCCCTGCTGATGTTCCCTTAGCCGTGCGCAATGTCAATTCCCTACAGCTCTATGAATTGATATTCTAATCACGTAGGCTGCGGTTAATCGATACTTCGTCGAATATCAAATCCATGGGTTTTACCGTGTGAACAGATATGCACCGAATCACCAATATACATTTTACATTATTAGTTATTTAATTTTATACCTGGTGAATTCCTCAAAGCAGCGAAACCGAGGAGATTCGATCGGTGATTATTTACGTGGTAAGCCACATCGTCACTGCAGACCCTCAGTCACGGCAAACCCTCGCCGACTGGCACTGGACAAATTAGTTTTCGCTAAGCGTGAGTTTGACAGTTTACTTGCCATATGTATTGCTTCGTCTTTCTCACAGCCCTTGAGCCTCCTCTCTCCACTCGGTTCTCAGAAAGATGGCATTTGTTGGAGACAACACGGCGATTCCAGAGCAGCAACGGCAGATATCCAGAGTTCCGCCTCCGAACTTGTATACGACACGACACCGCACCTGCCCGGGGACTTTTTTTCACGCCTCGGGGCAGCGATTTTATGTATATCAGATACTGTCCAACGACTATCTGCGTGGATGCGAACACTGCCTCCAGTGTGAACTCATATATAACATCGATAGTTTGCTCTCCCTCGGGAGTTATTTACCTGTCCATATGTTTTCATACGAGTAGATTTGGTACACAAACCTTTGCAACAGCCTTACTAAGGATCTTTTCAAGTGATCACTCGCCACCTCATTCTCACGTCCCAGTCAACAGCACGCGTCATCTACACTATCTACAGATGAGACTCCGGTCTCACGTTCAGATCAGCAGACCATGCCGCCCTTGACTTCGATTGAAGGCAGATTGAAGGCTCACCAGGTACGCAGGAGGCTGGTCGAGTTCTGGTGGCCGCGTAAGCCTACCTGTACGCTCTCGCTGCTTTCCACCCAGGCAACAAAAGATACGGCATACGACCTTATCCTCATACTACATGCATGCTAAACCTTTCTCTTTTTCTTTCATTTTGTATTCTGAGCCCAAGCCACCGACCATTGCCCTGTTGGTACCGTCGACTTCAGTCAACCTTGGCGAAAGCTGGCCTGATCACCCACGCTCTTGTCAACGCACTTAGTCGATGTTCTGGTTCCGAATATATCTGTCATACGTATGGTTTCAAATTTGGTCATTCTGGTCGTTTCTGGCTCCCTTTCTGGTCTGAATGCCTACGAACGCAATCTTCAGACTCTTGATACGAGCCACGCTAATGTGGTACGCCAACTTGAGCAGCGATTCTGGCGCATTACTACTGGTGCAGTTCAACACAGTAGGCTATCAGTGACAACTCGAGCTTCATCGTTCGCTTCCCGTTCGTTAACCCTTCCGCACAATAATTGCACTTTGGCCGACCAGCCCCCTCGAACGCAGCCGCTATGTATCGAAAGTGTTAACCCTTTCAAGGGTGGGGGGCTGCTGTAGTGAAACACTTCTACGAAGAAGACGCGATTAGGAAAAACGCACATTTATGATTGAACTTCACTTGTTTAACTTCACTAACAACACTCATTTGCGCGCAATGTTCTTTTTCGCGTTGTCACCATCCTTCAAAACTTGCCGCTCGCTGAAACACCTACCTTCTCCTTCAAATAAATTCTTTATCCTGAATTCACTTCTGACTATGATGATGGCGTAGTAATTACTATTTAATGGTGATCATAGTCAATATCGACTTGGTCACCACCAAAGCTTCAACATAAGCTTTTTGTGTCGCATGGTCCCATTAGCTTGCACAAAGAAGTTGATGCGCTTCTTAAATACAAAAGCCACCCAAACTTATAGCCTTTGTGAACATCAGTAAAACACTTTGTATATTGCCACACATTAAGCTATTGTTTATATTAGGCGGGAGGCCCCAGTCTATTTTAGTCACCTAGCACGGGCTCTTCAGACACTTCAGTTTTCCTATGATAAACTTCACTGAATACAAGCTATAGTGGAGCGAATTATCCAAATTTTGGTTCAAAAGGCGGATTAACACACTAGGGTTATTAACAACTCCGTGAGAAAGTGGTTAGAACCTGTTTGACATAGACTGTATTTTTACCAACAAAGAATTCTTCTAGGTCCTCGCCCCTTTTGGAAAAGCGATGTGTCAAAATTGCAGAGGTTCAGATGTGTTGAATTTAATCCTAATCATCGGCCGGTGAACTATAAAGTCCACCGCCAGTTCAACGCAGCTTTTCACTGAGACATCTAACTTGATATTATCTTGTGTGTTAAAAATTAATGTCTTACAAGCGTCAACTCAAAATTGTGCGCAACCCAAGGTCATACTGTTATATCAATGGAATGGGAAATGAAGGATTAGCAGCGATAGTGCAGGAACGGATGCACATATCCTCTAAGGGGAATAAATACTAGTTGTAAATAGCACGAATCGATAGATTTGTCTCAAATCCTAAACGTTTGTCACGTCATAGAGCTCCTTTTCGACAACCTAAAGATGAATTTCCCAGCAGTTAGGACATAATGATACGAGCGACAATTATGTGAATAATGCAGAGCTCCTTGTGAAAAAATTTCCATTCATTCTAAATGCCGTCTACAACCTAATTAGACGAAATATTCAACTACAGCCTAGATGGAATCCCAGTAAACGGCCGCCAGAAACTGTGACACCTAAGCAAGATGCATCTCCAAGCCAGGAAACGAAGCATTTTCTTGTGCTAAGAGAGGAGGTCTGGATCTTTGCGACACCTTTGAAAATATCGTTTTCACATTACTAGGCCAGTGAATTGTTCCTGAGAACCACAGGCCGGTTAAATCACTCCAGTCTACGAAAGAGGATAATGCAACGATCCTTATGACCTGTTTATTCATGTCTTTCACTCCTCGTAGACCTTAGACAGCCTTCTAGCATTCTTTATTAACCTTTACGATAAGCGCTAGTCATATAAAATCCTTATGACTACCACTCAATAATTCTGTATTCGGTATCTTCAAATATCTGGTTTATCGTTGCCTATATGACTTGTTATTACCGATAAACTTCTGTCAACCTCGACAGCATGGTTTAAGAAAGGGTCATTGCTGTGTTGAAGTACCTATTAAACATAACATTTAGTACGATAACAAATTTTAATCCCGTTACTCTAGTAATCAGACAAAAGGCGATTCTAGAGGAAGAAGTATATTTAATGCTAGCCTCGTGATATCGTAATAATCATGAGACTAGGGTACATGGGCGGCTAACAACGAGCCAGGAGAGAAGGCTGAAAGGCAAAGACACACTTGTCGCGCGAGAGATAGTCTTTAGTACAGATAAACAAAAGGTGTGCTATATAACAATTATTGTCAGAATTAAGTACGATAATAAATGTTTATACTTCAGCAATTGTGTTTTCTTCGTAAAAGTATACCACTACAGCTGCATCACCAGTTTACTGATCACGGTGGATAAATGGACCACCATTCTTAATAGCAAGTGAAAGGTGGATTTGATACAGCCTAGCTTTTCAGGAACTTTGAAAGGGTCAATCGCACATATCGTTTTAATAAGCTCAGGTTGAATAGTATCAACTAACCATTGTTAAACTGTTTGACGTTATATCTAGTTAACCAACATCTTGCACTCCAAATAACCTCAGTCTGCAGAATGAGCTTGTGTGGTGCCCCTCTTCCCCTTTTCCTCTAATAAAGTATCATCTGAGATGTAACTTTCCACTGACGATCTTAAGCTAAGGAGAGCAGTTTTCGAACAGGATGATAAGCTAGCTCTTTGACAGAAGTCTGAGTTTCGACTGACAGCACATCCAGATGTAAATTGGTTCATCATAAGCATATCAAACTGCGCATACAACTTAGATAGTTACCCTTAGGAATGATCTTTGGCTAGAGATGGAGTGGTTAACCTGATGACTTGTGATTAAAAATCTCACTTTGTGAGAAGACATTGCATTAGGAACTTTGAAGTTTATTCCTGGTAGCTGGAAAAGACCTTTCGTTTAGTGTTCTCGATTTTATCCAACCAATCCAGATTATGGTAACATAGGGGTCCCCCTTCATTACTGAAGGACAGTAGTATTCTGAGACGTATCCCGGTGCGCCTCCAAAATTGAGCCCCGAAACTCATCCCTATTTTCAAACTCAAACCACTAATTATAGGGAACCCGGAGGTGGTTAAAGGACTTTCGACATCCTAAACAGCTGTGGAAATCCTAAAAAATACCTATTCGCTTTCACTTTCAACAGAAACTTGAGTGGGAAAGCCCGAAATCCAGGAGGATAACACAGCAAACTGGAACATAAGTAGACAATCTACTAGTTATGAGTATTCGTCTTGAAGTGCACTACTCAATAACGAGGTCTAAGCAACTACTCTGGTTTTCCTCTGGAACACTCAGTACATTATTCTGAACTAGAGGCACTATTCCATAATATCGTGTCAATAATTTTGTTTGTTTCTTGAGCCTACATCCAGATGCGGAAGCCAAATGACCGAAATTGTCTTCACAACCATCTGGAATTCCGATACCAGATACATGCAGCATTAACGTCTACTAATTTCTGCAGTATACATTCTCTTTTGTTGTTTTCCATATAGTAACCAACCAGCCTCTTGTCTGCTTTGATAACTGGTGGTTACAGAAACCTCATCATAAGAAAAACGAATTCATTAAAGTTACAAGGCATACTAACTCATTAACTACGAAAAACACTAGTACTGGTGCAGCCGAGTAGCCAAATTACACCCGAGGGACACTGCTAAAGACCAGGGCGATGAAGCGACACCAAGCAAGCTGGAATAACTCATAATATTGATACAAGCCAACTACAAAGATATTGGATATAAAAAATTTTTATTCGTTTTACAACCTACGGTAATTAATAGAAGCTCTCTAATCTTTTACCTTTCTTCTATTGCGAAATGTTTATTGATTTTTGAATTATTTCCTTGAAACTTAAGCTGTATCAAATAGTATGGGAAATTCCTCAACCTTCAAATGTAGCCTAACTAATTAAATCTACGTAAATGGGAGATGGTCATGACGTGGTTGTCCTCAATAATGTTGTATGGATATCAATTATTTCAAAATAATCATAACTTCTTAGACATATGATTTATCAAAACTTTCTGCCGAAGAGAAATTCCGGTTTGTCCTGTCTCCTAAATAATACTTGATCCCATTTAGGATCGAACACTTGAAGTACCATGAAGACCACAAAGGCCATGAAAAAATGCACCTTGAGATGTTTTTGGTTGCATTTATTAGTTTGTTGGTCTGTCAGTTGATGCTTATGTTTTGGAAACAGCGACACTTCCGCTCGTATCAACTTGTAACTTTGATTGTTATGTGGTTAGTGCCGTTTGTATACAGTGTGCTAGCAGAATTCCCAAGATTCGTTTTTATATGGGTTTTATTTTCATTAACTACTGGAGTTATGGTCTACTTAGCATCTAAAAAACGCATAAGCTCAACTACACCAAGGTAATAACAATGTTAAACAGTTGTTAGTTCACCTTTTATGATGTAATTAAGTAATTTATTCATTCAATAAAGCTTTGGATCTCATGTCGTACAATAATGATTTTAGGGACTTGGTTTGGTATCCAGTAGTTTCTGAAGTAATTGACTGGTTATCGTTCAGCTCCCAAACTTTTAAATAGTATCCCAGGCCCTTTAACTCTTGGCACTAGACATACATCTTCATAATCATCTAGGATTGACCCTCCAAGTTCTAGTTCTTTCCGTCACTTCAAGTTGAATAAAGCTTTTGAAATCTTACCAGAAGTTAGCAAGCTTGTATCAATCTTTCATCCAGATTTCACGGAAATAAAATGTAATCCAGGAGTAACTGTAAGCCAGTTGAGTTGTTTCTGAATGTTTTTTTTATCTTATGTTCCAGTCTTTTGTACAAAGAGCAGATTGCAGCTCTTTGTTCTTTTGGAGAAGCTTCATTAGCTACTGACTTATTATTACCCAGTGTTTTTAATGAGTTAGAACAGCTGTAATGTGTTATGTTTGTTCTCTACCTTTTCCAACTTTTACTTTCGTCCTTTTGTTTATACAATAGGTATGGGTGGAAAGGAATTTGTATTCTCTAAGTCTGTCTTTACCATCCTCGTTGGTAGTACAATTACTTCGATATTTTTACCATTCATCTATCCGTTTATTTTTGAGCCAGGTCATATTAATGTCCGGTTCTACGTTGTTCGTTATCGACCAACTAATATTGTTTAGTCGTTTATCTTTTCTAAGTATTCATTGTCCATTATTTTCCTTGTGATGTTAGAATATATGGTACTGTAATTAACAATGTTTTAATTGAGTTCTTAGTTAAAGAAACTAAATATAATATGGTGGCTTATAGTCAACATTTAAATAGGTACACGTTTAGTGACCTACCATTTTGTAAGGAACCAAACGTTTGTGAATTCCCTAGTGATCAGGTGTCGAGCTTCAAAACCAATTTTGGGCATCACATATTTATGCCAGGCTGTACGTTAATTATGCCTGACTGCAAAATAAGGATCGAAGAGAACAAACTAAATTCTCCTACAATCATCTTGACAACTGGACTGTGCCATGTTAGCAGGTGTAGACAATCATAACCAATGGTTAGAGACCTCGAATGAAACGGCTCAGAATCGTTTGGAACGACGCAGCTATATCCATTCTTTGTGTTCTCTCAAATTCTAAATTCCTCTGCACCTTTATCTCTCTTTTTCAGTTTATTTCACTAGACTGTACTTTTTGAATGATTTCTTCAAACCCTAGTCTTCTCCATTACCGATAATACTGCTACTACCTTGAACATTTTAGGATTTGAATTCACAATAGCATCTCCATGCTAATATGGTATGACAACTTAAACTGGTGTACGTACATACAAATTTCTACGTTGTAGCTAACTGATAAAGTATTTGTTTCACACTATAGAGGTGTGGAAATTACATCACCTTGATTTATAACTCTAATCATCAAGCAACTAAGTACACGCATATCCATAAGATTGTAAGGCATATATACTGTTCACAAAAAATAAACAGTATTGTTTTACAATACAGATCTAAATAAAGCAAGTGAATGTAAGCCCATAATAAAACTAGACATAGTCCTACGTGGCGAAGACGCTGACAAAATGCAGTCTTCTGACCATCCTAAGCAACAATGCAAGCATGTTCGGGATGCGGTTCTCACCCTCGAAATGCAAAATGTTGCTTCAAGATTGGGTTGCATCGGCACCTGAACTAATGATAGGGAGTGAAGTATTCGAACGCGTAAACCGCTTCAATTATCTGGGGAGTCTCATCAGTGCTGATGGCCTGGTGACTGTCGAAATTTCAGTTCGGATAGAGAAAGCTCGATTGGCTTTTGCCAACCTTCGTCACTTATGGCGAAGGCGAGATATCCGTTTGCTGACTAAAGGACGAGTGTACTGCGTAGTAGTTCACTCCGTTCTACTCTACGGATGCGAAACATGGCCAGTGAGAGTAGAAGATATTCGTAGGTTACTAGTTTTCTATCATAGGTGTCTTCGAAGCATTGCTCGTATATCGTGGGGCACCCGAGTGAGCAACGCTGTTATTAGGAATCGGGTGCTAGGTAAGAATGGCAGATCAATAGATGAAGTAATGAAACTTCATCAGTTGAGGTGGTTGGGACATGTGTTGCGTATGCCCAACCACTGACTGCCTCGTCGAGCTTTGTTTTGTAGTGTAGGAATAGGTTGGAAGAAAGCTAGGGGTGGCCAAACCAAAACATGGCAGAAATCCATGAAGTCACTGACAAGTGGACTGAGTCATGTTGGTAGATGTAGACTACCTACCTGGTTGGGGTCCGCGAGACGAAAGTCACCAATGGTTAGAGACCTTGAATGACATGGCTCAAAATCGTTTGCAATGGCGCCAGTGCATTTATTCTTTGTGTTCTCTCAAATCCTAATCTTCTGGATTTTCAACACCTCTAGTCTTGACTTTCTAAACTTTTCTCACTGAATCACACTTCTTGAATAATATCTTCTAATCCTAACCTCTCCGATTACTTCTAATACCTTTACTACCTCTTCTACTATTGGATTTGAATTGATAATAACATCTTTGTGCTGATATGGTATGGCGACATGAACTGATGTACTTACGTACGAACTTCTACGTTGCAACTGACTGACTGACTGATTAAAACTAGATTACATCTGAATCGCCCTACGAGTGTTATTATTTATCAAAAAAGTTTCTCTATTATTATTGTTTTTTTTTTTATCTTATAGACGGGTTTATCGATGGTTCTTATTTATTCATACCATTTCTTATATACTTGGAGTTGGTGGTTATATCCTATTAGTGTTAACATTTTTCCAAATCAATCTCATGTTTCTTGTGCCTACAAAAATTTCAGTGGATATATCTTTATTGGCATTGTTTTACGGTCTTTATTATGGTGTGATTGCACGTGATTTTGCTGAAGTTTGTACAAATAAATTAGCTGCACAAATATCCGTAAGTGATGCAATGGATTTTTTAAAATGGTTGGTTGTATGATGTACAAAAATTACTAGCTTAAAGTTTAGCCTAGGGTCGGTGGAACATAGATTAGATTAAAGCATGATTGCGTTGTTGCACGCTGATTGGCTTTTTCGTACCCAATCAGCGCTAGTCGATACTGAGACAACATTGTAGAAACTTCTTATGTAAGAAAACTATCATTATACTAACGTGTCTTTTTCCTTTGGACCTCCTGTCTTTCATTTAATCGTGTTATTGGAATATGATCTCTATTTACCTGTTCAACCGTGTTCTGATTTTGAGGAGAACGTCTCGAGTGAATTGGTGTCCGAGAATACTCAGAGCATTAGGAATAGCTAGGTTGTGTTATACTACTTACTACCTACCCCATTAGCGCGACGAGACGAATTTATTAGAATGATTAGCAAATGAATCGAAATAACTTGACAATAGTGGTGATAAGAATAGACCAAATTTAAGGAGTGTGTCTAAAAGAATACTGGAACTGAAGATCTGGAAAAAGATAATTTTACGAGGACACTAAAACTGCTGAAGAGAATATTATGTGACGTATGATGTGCTAGTTGTAGCACAGCAAAAAGGATGTTTTTTCAAACTATAATTTCAGGTAACAAGGTTATTAAGAGATATACGAAGGATTTGATTGTGACCAATTTGGTCTCGTGTGCTGTTACGAGAATGAGGGTGGATGTCACTTCCTGACTGCCCACATTGTGGACGGCGGATATATCTTGAGGAACCTGGAAAGAATATTAGATTAGTGTTGTTCTTAGCGACCTTCTAGCGTGACCGCAGAACCAAATGAACAATTGCTTGAGGCCGGTCGCGCACGGTCTTTTTATGGGAATTATTCAACGTGTTCACTCCGCTCTTCAAAATGCCTTACCACTGGAGACAGAAATTCTTGGAGTAAGGTGAAGTGCGACGACTTCGGAGTTGACCTCTTTTAACCATTGTGAGAAGGCAGCACCCCTGCAAATGCTGGTTGTTCGAAGGAAACATTGCTGCCGTTACACCCCCTTACCGTCAGCAGTACAACATCGTCCTCAGACCTTAAGTTTTTGCTCTTAGTCTTATCGTTCTTCACAACAGACCCAAAAGAACGTTTTTGCCAACCAATTTTAATAATGTAAACGAATTTTAACGAGTTCTAGTGAGTAGACATGACCAGTGGAGCTCAACCCTGTCGGGTGTAGGCAGTAGCTACCAAAGACAAACGGGTGAGGTCGCACAAAATCCCTAAGTCAGTCAGAGTTAGGCATTAACCCCGTTAGATGCCGGCCCAGTGGTCCAGAAGTTAGACGTTCGTGCACAATACCGAAGGTCCTGGGTTCGAATCCCGTAGGGTGCAGGAGTCGTCGATGCACGCTTCTGATGAGTCCCATGCCAGAACGAAACGATATGATTGATTCATGATTTCAATTACAATTTTATTTGTCATATGGATTGATCATTGAAATTTTCTAATTATTCTTTATTTGATTTGTTTGTTTGTTTCAGGATCGAGTTCCTCATGGTATGCCTATTCGTCGAATTGATCCATCAATATGTTTAATCTGTAAAAATAATTTAACAATAGATAGTAGTGAAAAAATTCATCGACTCAACTGTTCACATGTGTATCCTTTTTCTTATTCTCTGTTTTTTTTATAACCGATTTTATACATTTGGATAGTTTAAATCTTTTCATTGATAGAGTTAAGACGTGTAATTAATCAGTGTCATTTAGTGTAATGTATTTGCTAATGCGCTTCGCCTCGATATAGCTATAGTGTCTAACATAGGGATTCAGGTTGCACGGCGTTTCATCCTATTTGAGCCTCTTCAACTGGATTTACCTGCTACATGCATGTCAATACAATTGAGTGAATTTTCACCTCATTATACAAGCTAATGGCTATCTGAACTCAATAGCTAAATAGATAAAGTTGATATAGAGTTTGAAGCGAGCGGTACTAGTTTTGTAGTTTCGGAGTGAATATTGACTATAAGATGTGTGGTAGATAATTCACCCATGTAAGGGCAAGTCCCAAGTAGAACAAAACACTCATTGTGGATTCCTGTGCTAACTCATCATTCATCTTTGGTGATAAAGATATTCACTTTCATATGTTAAAATATATAATTATATAAATATCCAGTGTATGCATAACTTCGAGTTAATCTTCATTTCGTCCATGGTGACTGACGAAATCTCAGCTCGGATACAGAAGGCTCGATTGGCTTTTGCCAACCTGCATCACTTATGGCGAAGGCGAGATATCCGTTTGCTAACCAAAGGACGAGGGTGCTGTGCAGCAATTCGCTCCGTCCTACTTAATGGCTGTGAAACGTGGCCGTTAAGAGTAGAGGACATTCGTAGGTTACTAGTCTTCGATCATTGATGTCTCCGAAACATTGCTCGTGTATCATGGGACAACTGTATAAGCACTGCTGCCGTTAGGAAACGAGTTTTAGGTAGGGATGGAACATTAATATATGAAGTAGTGAAACTTCATCAGTTGAGGTGGTTGGGAAATGTGTTACGTATGCCTAAACACCCACGAGCTATGTTTTGCAGTGTAGGAGTAGGTTTGAAGAAAGTTAGGGGAGGCCAAACCAAAACATGGCAGAAATCCATGAAGTCACTGACAAGTGGACTGAGTCATGTTGGTAGATGTAGGCTACCTGGTTGGGGCCCGCGAGACGACAGTCACCAATGGTTAGAGCCCTTGAATGACATGGCTCAGACTCGTGTACAATGGCGCATGTGCATCCACTCGCTGTGTTCAACCTAATTCTAACCTTCTGAATTCCTCATCATCTCTACCTTTCTCTTTCTAAATTTATCTCACTGAATTATACTTCTCGAATCATATCTTTGCTCCCTAATCTTCTCCATTACTGCTAATACTTCTATTATTGCTATCACTCTTGGATTTGAACTGACAGTTGCGTCTCTGTGCTGATGTGGTATGGCAACCTGAACTGTTGTACTTACGTACGAAGTTCTGCATTGTATCTGTCTGTCCATGGAATATTTTAGAAATTTTTACTAATGTCCATTGGGTGTGAGACAGTTAACCATCAAAGATGACAATAGATGTGGTCGTTACAGTATGTTAGATTGATTAACATTACCATCATTGAATATCGACTCAGTGGTCCTTAGGTTAAGCGTGGGTGTACAGGGCCGAAGGTTGTGAGTTCGATTCCCGTGTGGACGGAGTTTGTGGATGCATGCACCCTGTGCTCTAAAAAGAGTCCCATACTAAGACAAAGATGGCTTTTTAATACTTTCAGGTTTCAAGTGGTGTTGGCGATCTAGCTAAGATCAGTTTGTGATTTTAACAGTAAAAATTTTTTTTATTGACAGTTTGATTATTTATCATTCAAGTTTTCTTCTTTGTAGGGAGGCATATATGTAACCTACATACATGGATGATATTGCTTTATTCCTTATTACACTTATGTTGTATTATTCTAGCTTTCATGATTTTTGTATTCGGGGTTGGTGTATTATTGGAAAAAAAGATACTTGTCCGTATTGCAGTGAAAAAGTCAACTTGAAACAGACATTCACGAATCCGTATCCTTTTTTTGTTACATCAGTCAAGTTTTTTTTTCAGTCCAGTTCATTCACACAAAATATTCATTGTATAAAACAGGATGGAATTAATTATGTGTATGTGTTTTTTAAGTGTTCCCCTGTAAAGAGTAATCATGATCAACAAATTTTAAGGGCTGTACAGAATAAACTCAATAAGATTGTGACTGTATTATAACCACAGCACATAGCGTGTTGATCGCTTCACTTATCTCGAGAATCTCATTATCAATGTTGATGCCTACGGTGTCTGACGAAGATTGGGTTGGATTGGCACCTGAACTAGTAATAGGGAGTGAAGTAGTAGAGCGTGTTGACCGGTTCACTTATCTGGGGAGTCTCATCAATGCTGATGGCCTGGTGACTGACGATTTCTCAGCTCGGATACAGAAAGCTAGACTGGCTTTTACCAACCTGCTTCACTTATGGCGTTGGCGAGATATCTGTTTACTAGCCAAAGGATGAGTGTACCACTGCTCAGTAGTTCGTTCCGTCCCACTATATGACTGTAAAACATGGCCAGTTAGAGTAGAGGATATAAGTAAGTTACTAGTATTCGATCATAAGTGCCTCCGAAGCATTGATCGTATATTCTGAGACCACTGAGTATGCAATGCTGTTGTTACGAAACGAGTAGTAGGTAAGGATGTCTGATCAATAGATGAAGTATCTCGAAACTTCATCAGTTGAGGTGGTTGGGACATGTGTTACGTATGGCTAACCACCGTCGAGCTGTTACGGGTAGGAAGGATTTGATTTTGACCAAATTTGGTCTCGCGTGCTGTTACGGGTATGAGGGCGGTTGTCACTTCCCGGCTGCCCACACCGTGGAAGGTTGTTTCTTGAGGGACCTGAAAAGGAAAATAGATTAGTGTTGGTCTTAGAGACCTGGGTGCGTGACCGCAGAGCCCAAGGGACAACTGCTTGAGGCCGGTCACGCACGGCCTTTTTATGAGTTTTTTGAGTGTTAGCTCCGCTCTTGAAAGCCCTTAGTGGGCACCCTTACCGCCGGAGACGGAAATCCGTGAGGTAGGGTGGTGTGACCTTTTCTAACCCCCCTCCTTCCTTGTGAGATGGCAGCATCGCTACAGGTGTAGACTATCTGAGTGACACATATTACTGCTGTCACACTCCTCAACAGTCAGCAGTATGACTTCGCCCTCAGACCTTGAGTAGCTGCTTTTAGTCTCATTGTTTTCCAATCGACCTGCCTGGCATGGTAGAACCTTCAGGAACATAAGTTTCAGCCAATATAGCTCGATTGGGTCATCACAATAGTCAAGCCCGACCACCACGTCAAGGTAGCAGCTTCGGTCGGGCCTCATCGAGCTATGTTTTGTGGTGTAGGAATAGGCTGGAAGAAAGTTAGGGATGGCAAAATCAGAATATGACAGTAATACATGAAGTCACCGACAACTGAAGTGAGCCAAGTAAATCAGTGTAGACTACCAGGTTGAGATCTGCGAAACAAAGTAACCGATGGTTATAGACTTTGAATGACAGCTCAAAATCGTTTGCAGTATCTTCGAACACTAATCTTTTCCATTACCGCTAATACTTCTAGTACCCCTACGACTATGGGATTTGAACTATCAATTCGATATCTCTGTACTAATGTAGTATGACAACTTGAATTGATGTACGTGTGTACGTACGTACGTACGAAGCTCTACATTGTAGCTGACTGATTGTATTACAACTGCGTGCTTCCTAGGTTTCCATACGAACGCACAAATTCAAATATATCTCATAACAAAACAGGTTTACAAATGTCTTTTTTGAGATTCAGACTGACCGAAACAGATTCTACACTTGAAATTATTTGCTCATGTACAAGCACTATAAAAAAAAATTGTTCTAATGTGTAATTAATAATTTTCTTAACATTTCCTAACAAAAATTAGATGGGATAAACCACATTTATTATATGGGAATCTTTTAGATTGGGTACGTTATTTAGTCGCATGGCAACCTGTGATTTTGGGCGTCGTACATGTGCTTAACTCAGCTCTAGGTCTACAATAACTAATATCCAATTCTTATCAAATAACGCACGTTCTCTAATGTGTGTTCCTTTTTCTACAATCAAAACTTGTATATCATATGATACATCAAATATAATTAATTCTATTTGAATTTTTCTTTTGTTGATACTACTGACTGAGATTTTGATCTGTCTTGGTTGGTATACGTGTGGTGAAGGAGAACACAGGTGAGGGCAACCGAATTGTATTTAACGAAAATTACAGAGTTACTCAGTAAAATCGGAAAACCATATCGTAAATCGTTCATTTGCAAAATATCACTCCATCCTATCGAACTGGATTGTTCCTGTTGCAAAACATCAATCCATTGTCACTCACTATTCATGCGTTTCATACAAATTCCATTGTTTTCTAACTCTTCCTTTCTTGATCTTCGGCTGCCAGACATTACGTTGACACTCACGTCATATACTACTTATAAGTAGCTCACACCACATACGAACATCCTACGTGGATTGTCTCACTTATAACCTATTGAATTGAATATTATAGCGCCGTCGTACAAATGATTGGCTATCTTGAACTCAGTAATTCAGTGAATATGGTGGCGTTTAAAGCAAACAGTACTGGGATCGAGTCCCGGAGTGAACATCAATTCTGAGATATGGCCGTTACACTCAGTTGATGAGTCACGAAATAGGACGTAACGTGCATCTTGGATTGCACTACTGGTCACATTCTGTCTGTCTTCTGCAAGTTAAACTAGATGGCCTGTTTTTTATGTGAAATGTCATCCGGTGCTACTGATTACCACCAGATCTATAGAAAAAAGACGGTCTGTACTTAAAGTTGGCGCTCTCTGATTCACATTTATTCAAGTTATTTTAAAATTCCTACAACAATGTCTCATGCGCCAAGGCGCTATCGATAAAAAGGCCCATTACAATATCTAATCATATTTAAGGAATGAAATTGTGTGCCTCTAAAATAATTAAGGGTCGAATCACTCAGTGTAGAATTATTGCGAAACATTAAGTTCACAGAAAAATTCTTGCATATTATATCAGCAAGTATTTGTTCAATCTAATTAAATAAATTTGAAGAGGATTGTAATAAGTTTTCAAGTTACTTTCATTAATATAAATAGGCGATTGGTCGACTTCTACTTTAGTGAAAACTACAAGTGATATTACGTGTACGGAATATTTGGCGGAAGAGATCAAATCAAGGTCCGCCTAGAATAGGTTTTTTTAGATCTAAATGTCATACGCTGTAGCCCCCTCAAACTGACTTCATTTCAGTGAGAATGCAAGAATAGATGAGAAAGTCTATTTGACCCCCTTGCCATATATATATATATTCCTCCTCAGAAAATGAATCAATTTTTTGACCAATTATATGCGCTCATCCTTTCGGACAGTTTTTCGAGATGAAAGTAGCCGATGGTTAGAGAGAAATGGCTGAAAATCGTTTGCAATGGCGCAGACGCATCCACTCATTGTATTCTCTAAAATTCTAACCTTCTGAATTTCTCATCATCTATCTCTTTCTAAAGTTATCTCACTGAATTATACTTCTCGAATCATATCTTTGAACCCTAATCGTCTACATTACCGCTAATACTTCTACTATCGCTGCCACTATTGGATTTGAATTGACAGTTACGTCTCTGTGCTGATGCGGTATGGCAACCTGAACTTATGTACTCATGTACAAAGTTCTACGTTGTAACTGACTGACAGTTTTGATTGTTATCAAGTAACTTTCTCGCTCGACAACTCTTGATTGGCTGTCTATATTATAACATTCCCAAACTGATAAATGCAAATTCTCACATCCGACCTAATGTGTTTGGCAACCAGATAAACGAAGAACCTGATGTGTTCATCAGTTGTGGATGGAACACAAGCGTACACAGTCATTATGACCAATACAATTGTGAATAAATAAATTCTAAATAGGAGCATTTTCTTTTTACAAATTAAGACTCATGAAAACAATTAAATCGTTTAGCTGAATTTGTATGGTTTGTTCCCTTTGAAAAAAAAGTCACTTCACTGTCAATATGACATTGACATATCGGAAAAAATGTGATTATCAACTTATTCAATAATTCATATGCATACTATAACTAACCTAATTTCGATCAAGAAGTAATGATTTTGTATCATAAAAATGTCAGTCAACAATAACATAGAACTTAGTACGTACGTACACTACATCAGCACACAGAGATGCAATTGCCAATTCAATTCTCATAGTAGTAGGTGTAGTAGAAGTATTAGCAGTAATACAGAGGATTAGGGTTCGAAGATATTATTCAAGAAGTATAATTCAGTGAAATAGATGTAAAAAGAGAAATATAGAAGTGACGAAGAATTCACAGGATTATTATTTGAGAGAACACACAGAGTGGATGCATCTGAGCGATTGCAAACGATTTTGAGCCATGTCTCGGGGACCTCAACTAGGTATTATATACTTGCTAACATGGTGCAGTCAATAGCTTTATGGATTTGTGTCATGTTTTGGTTTGGTCGTCTCTATTTTCCTTCCAACCCACACTGAGCATCATCGCTCACCGAGGCAGTCAGTGATTGAGCATTCGTAACACATCCCAGTGAAACTTCATCAGTTGATATGTCTGGGACATGTGTTACGTATGCCAAACCACCGACTGCTTCGACGACCGATGTTTTGTGGTGTAGGAGTAGGTTGGAAGAAAGCTAGAGGCGGTCAAACCAAAACATGGCAGAAATCCATGAAGTCACTGACAAGTGGACTGAGTTATGTTGGTAGATGTAGGCTACGTGGTTGGGGTCCGCGTGACGAAAGTCACCAATGGTTAGAGACCTTGAATGACATGACTCAAAACCGTTTGCAATGGCACAGGTGCATTCATTCTTTGTTTTTTCTCATATCCTAACCTTCACAATTCCTAATTAATTTTGTTAAATTTACTTCACCACATTCTGCTTGTTAAATAATATCGTCGAACCTTAACTCTTCGATTATTGCTAATACCTTTACTACCTCTACTACTATGGCATACGAATTGACAATTCCATTTCTCTCTGTGCTAATGTGGTACTACAGCTTAAACTGATGTACATACGTACGAAGTTCTACGTTGCTATTGACTGATTGAAGACATATCCCAAACACCTTAGCTGATGAAGTTTCACTTCTTCATCTATTGATTTACCATCCTTACACTTCATACCCTTTTCTTAGCCACAGCATTGATTACTCGACGACAGTCGTACGATATACGAGCAATGCTTCGAAGGTACCTACGGATATCCTCTTCTCTTACTGGCTATATTTCACATCCACATATATATAGGATAGAAATCTATATATTTCTTATCAAATTGTTTTGACATCTATTTTTTAGTTAAATTAGTTTTTCATATATATTTTTCGAATATATATATAATGTTACTTACTTACTTACCCTACAACACCACAATTAACACGGGGACTGTTAAAAAAAGAGAGGAGTACCATCACACTAACAAAACAACTCGGTTCAATTTTTTTCAAAAAATATATATTTATATTGATGTGTACAAAATTTAAATGATGTGATCATTTTATAGGAAAAGTTTAATTTGTCGATGGTTCCACAGAACATGACTGTTGGAATTGATCTGGAAAAAAAAGCGAAACAAATATATAAACATGTGTGTGTGTGCGTGTATGTGCTTAACTTCGCCTTATTATTTCGATAGTTTTTAGTGCTAGAATAAACAAATGTTAACACACAGATCTATTGTAGTGAACGAGAACACAGGTGAAGGCAACCGAATTGTATTTAACGAAAATTACAGGGTTACCCAGTAAAATCGGATAACCATATCGTAAATCGTTCATTTGCAAAATATCAGTTCATCCTATGGAACTGGACTGTTCCTGTTGCAAAACATCAATCCATTGTCACTCACTATTCATGCGTTGCATACAAATTCCATTGTGTTCCCCCCACTCTTCCTCCCTTTCTTGATCTTCCCCCATCTTCTGCTGCCAGACATTACGTTGACACTCACGTCATATACTACTTATAAGTAGCTCACACCACACTATGAATGAAGAATATTGTTTTCAATGGATTCTCTTCAGTATGTTCTACAATTAGTCAGTCAGTCAGTTGGCTACAACGTAGAACTTCGTTCGTACGTACCCACGTAGATCACAATTCCAGTTACCATACCACATGATAGAGAGATCAAATGGTTGTTAATTTAAATCCCACAGTGGTAGATGTAGTAGTGTGGTGTGAGCTACTTATAAGTAGTATATGACGTGAGCGTCAACGTAATGTCTGGCAGCCGAAGATGGGGGAACATCAAGAAAGGAAGAGTTAGAAGAACACAATGGAATTTGTATGAAACGCATGAATAGTGACAATGGATTGATGTTTTGCAACAGGAACAGTCCAGTTCAATAGGATGAACTGATATTTTGCAAATTAACCATTTACGATATGGTTTTCCTATTTTACTGAGTAACTCTGTAATTTTCGTTAAATACAATCAGGTTGTCACGCCTGTGTTCTCGTTCACTACAGTAGAAATATTAACAGTGGTGAAGAAGATTCTGGTAAGGTTTTACAGTTATATATATATTCAAATTAATAATCCTTGAGAAAATATGGTCAGATTCAAGACAAAATACAACGGTTATACGTACAATGAAATTTTAGGATTAACAAATAATCATCAGAAATAAGTATTAGTTAACGCGAAAAGAGTCTGAGAGAGTAATAATGTAATTACAAATCAAGAATTACGTAATGCGTAGAATAATATAAATGAAGTACGAATTAGTTACATTGGGATTGGACGCTGAATAAATTTCTAATGACATTTGCAAGTGTTATAATAACAATAATAAGATTTGTGAATTAGATAAGTTTAAGCTGTGAAAGGTTGTATAAACGTGATACAGATTATTATCATCAAAATGCTTGCTAACTAATTAGGCCAGAAGTTGGAAAAGGTAACAGGAGTGGTTTAATGTAATTCTTTTGAACGCAAAGCAATTGCTGCAGCCGTCTGAAAGTTTTAAGGCAGATTGCTGTGAACATGGTATATAGTTGAAAATGATTGTTCGATGTTGCCTATATGTACTAAATGTAGGCTACCTGGTTGTGGTCTGCGGTATGATAGTAACCGTTAGAGTTAGACACTTTGAATGACATGACTAAAAATCGTTTGCAATGGCGCAGATGTATCAATTTTTTGTCTTCCCTCAAATTCTAATCTTGTGAATTCTTCATCGCCTTTATCTTTCTCTTTTTAAATCTATCTCACTGAGTTATACTTCTTGAATAATATCTTCGAACCTTAATCTTCCCCACATTACCCATAATACTTCTACTATATCTACCACTATGGGATTTGAACTGACAGTTGCGTCTCTGTATTAATGTGGTATGGCCAACATGAACTTATGTACGTACGTACATACAAAGTTCTAAGTTGTAACTGATTGACTGACTGACTAGGCTTCATTAGGGGTAACAGACATAAGTAAGTAAGTAAGTAATTCATTTAAACCTACTTTGAATCGATGTGATAGTTTTTGATCCTACAATTTCATGATCATCGTCCTCATCATCATCATCATCCTTGTCTGAATCACTATGTGGACGAATTTCTACACCATCAACATCAGGCAATGGATCATTGTCTGCTTCATCATCATTACCAGCCAAATCTAAAAGCATCGGTTGATCATGCTGTTTAGATGAATAAGATTTGGTGGATTTGTCTAAAAATGTGACATAAATCAATAAATTATAATTTAAACAATGATTCATTCATGATTCCAATGTGTGTAGAAAACAACCATCTCCATACACATACACTAGTGACAACTAGCTACGTGTTGGAATTCTAGATGAGAAGACGTGTGACCAATGAAGTTCAACTCTGTCGGAAGAAGGCAGTTACTTCTCGAAGACAATGTATGAGGTTGCGCAAAAATCCCTAGATTGATTAGAGTTAAACATTAACACCGTTGGATGCTGGCTCAGTGGTTCCTAGAACTCACTTGGAAAGATCCTAATTTCGTAATTTATCACTGAAATTTTGGATTTTCCATGTTTTCGCGCGCAAGACGCTTAGTTGACCTTCAGCTTACTGAAGGGTTTGTCACTAGGTACACTTGAAGCTATTACGAGTTCACCTTAGTCGATAAACGCGAACGAGACAATTACCAGCGTCCAAATAGGCTACCTTGAATCCCAAGCTGAAGATAGAAGGCTTTGTAAGCGCAGAAAGTATATTCTACAAACGACCAGCAATCACAATACAATCGAGCACACAATTCTCGTTTATTCATACATCATAGAAACATCCTTGGGACAGTTACGAAAATAGCACACTAAAATACACAGCAGCCAATCACAGCCATGGATTCTCCTGGTGGAAAATGAAATCTCAAGGTCAACTGACCAGCCCATGCTCGCAAACGTGAAATCCAAGATAAGGCATTTGTCAAGCGAGTTTTGGGAATCTAACATCTCCAACACTTACATTTCCCACTCGGAAAACCCTTGACTGTCATTGGTTGACGGATTATTTTAGTACGCTATTTTGTGGCTCTCCCAAGGGCGTTTCTATCATTGTATAAATGAACTTGATTTGTGTGCTTAGCAACTTTCTGGGTGCTTGAAGAATACATTCTCTATTCCTTATCAAGACTTCTTGCTTTAGACCTAGGACAATCGGATTAGAATAGCCAATCGTGTCACTGCATCATTCATCTGCGCTCCGTTTACCGAGTAAGGTGAACTCGTAATCGCATTCAAGCATATCACGCGCAAGACCGAATGTTAACGTATAACTCCTGCGCTGGTAGCAGGAGTTGTGGATGTGCACTGTTGATGAGTTCGATACTACTACAGGATGAAACGGCAGTCTTTCAGTGCTTCCAGATTTTTACTGATGGTGTCGGTCTAACAATCATTGATATTCATTCATGGCTTCAATGTTGAACAAAAACCAAATTTTTTTAAAATGAGATTAGAGTATCTGTTCAATAGTATATTTTCTGATAAGAAATGAATATAATCTTTCTTTTAAAATAACTCTTAGTTACATAATTTTCAAATTAAGAAAAAAAACATTGATTAAATTTTATTGATTTATGTCATATACTACTACTACTAATAGTACTACTTGAACCGTAACTTGATTAGTACGCCAAAATTAAATCTATAAGTTATATTGTTGAACTGTATGTTTCAATAAATCAATCGATTAGTCTGTTTGGTTGTTTGTTAACGGTATGTATATATGTATGTATGAACTATATGCTGGCGTTTTAAACGCACAAGCACTCGTAGTACAACAGGTGCACCAAAATATTAGATATATCACAAACAATCAAGTGAATTGATGAATAGGATGGGGGACATGGGTGCTTAAACTGATGCTGGTGGTCTTCTTTTGGGGTTCCTCTCCAAGTCTTTCACCAACATGTCGGTGTAGTGTGTGAGTGTGTGTACAAATATGTTGAGCCCACAGGGACTGTCCCAGCTTTCCAACAAACGAATTAACTTTTTCTGCCTGAGTTACTATTATTATTATTATTCGCTCATAGCCTAGCTTGTTTTTATTTGTGCGTATGTGCATTGCTTACTGAGCGTATTACGCGTTTATTTCACTTTATCTGACTACAAAATGTGTAACTTAACAATCTTCACAACCCCTGTAATGCAAATTACCTGTGCTCACTAGTGACTAGCTTCGTGAGGAATCTTCTCCGAGTTCTTGTGGGAAGACGTGACCAGTGAAGTTCAACCTTTTCGGGTGTAGACAGTAACTACCGAAGACTGTGTATGAGGTTGCGCAACTCCGTGAATTTGATCAAGTTAGAAATTAACACCGTTAGATACCGGTTCAGTGATCCAATGGTTAGGCGTTCGCACACAATACTGAAGGTCCTGAGTTCGAATCCTGCGGGGTGCAGGAGTCGTGGATGCGCACTGCTGTTGCGTCCCATACCAGGACGAAACGGCCGTCTTTCAGTGCTTCCAGGTTTCTAATGATGGTCTAACATTGATCGATTCATAGTTTCAGAAATGTGTAACTTAACAATCTTCACAACCCCGTAGTACAAATACTCAGTCATGCTTCATCGCCCTGAGTTGTCTCACTTCGCCTTCTCTCTAACTCACTTCACTTTCCTGCTTTGTATTCTTATGCCTGCCTGCGTGAACAATACCATGAAATAAATTCATCCAACAGAACCCATATTTGACTTCTTATGACTACCGTCTCACAAAAAAACGAGGTTCGCCTAAGTACGATATAATATGGAAATGAAAGAGGAGATTTATTTCATACAGTACTCGATCATTCATCCCGCGCAACTAAAGTAGTGAGCCCTACTTGAAATTTAACACAGCCAGTAAACGGTATAGCAACGTTGGGAGACACAGAATCGTGGTTACCGGTGACTAACAATACGTTCATACGCCATATATTTGTTCCCTCACGACATATATATATCTAGACGAAGTAGGCGCTGATATTAGTCCAGAATGAAAAAAACGAAAGTTTCTCAGTTAAAACCATTAAGGGGTTAAAGAATTCATCAACGCACCAATAATTACCGACTTACCATTTGAAATTTGCTTGCTTTTTTCTTGTTTAGCTAGTAAACTCGGAAGATTTATCTGTAAATGAATAAAAGATAATAAGAGATAGTGAAGTAAACCAGTAACTCAGGTGGATGATTGTTAAGATGGTGTTTCGTCCTCTGAACTGGATGTGGTTTGGTTGTGGAGCGTTGATTGTTCTTTTTGGGAACAACAACGTCAGCACAAACTTTAGGTAGAAGAAGTGAAGTATTCGAATTTCTCCACATATGACCCATAGCTTGTTCTACGGACCTCGATCTTGATTGGTTATTATTAACTTTCAAACTGTCGTCGTTCGCACCTTTATTTTGAGTGTATCCCCCTTTTGATCTGTTTCTTGATCGTATGTCACCTATGATTTCCCTGACTGGTTGATAAATTGGGTCAATGTCGATGTGTTTGTTGATTACTGATTGAGTTGAGTACTAAGCTTCGAAAAATTCTCTAGTGTTCTTTGTAATCCCTCTGTTCAGTATTTTCACATTGTCCCAATCGAATGCATGTCCATATTTGTCGGTGTGGAGAAATTTCATGGCGTTTGACTGCTAATTGGTGTTTACGTAAACGAGGCTGAAGAGGACGTCCTATATAGTGTTTTTCACAATCTGGGTAATTTATTTTGTAGACGATATATGGTTTTTCTTCCTTTGTCACCTCGTCCCTTGGTCTACATAGGATTGATTGAAGTGATTCCGTTGGTTTGTGTGCTACACACCTATTCCAACTGGTCTCAGTAGTCGTGCTGTGATTTCCGATATGTCATTTATATATATGACAGGATGATCCGTTTATTGGTTCCTATACTTAATTTCGCTTCTGTTGATGGTTTCAGATGACACTTTTTTCCATGAAGTTGCATGGATAACCGTTCTTTTGTAGGATAGTCATCCCATATTTTTCCTCGTGTTAGGATATTCATCAAATATCCTAAAGAAATTATTTTGTATGTCTAATCCTATTGGTCGATTCCTATTGGCCGATATTTAAGGTCGTCCTAAGCTATCAAGTTCACATGCTTTTAAATGTTGTTTCCTATTGGTTAGTATTCACGGTCGACCTAACTGTATAAATATGCATTGTCTGTAAAGTTTTATGCTCCTCTCCTTCTTCTGTACAAAACCTCATATTTTCTAGGTGCTTGTAGAATACACTTTCAACGCCATATCAAGACTTTTTGATACCGTTAGTGGGGCCTTGAGACGCTCGGATCACCTGTCTTAGCTCTGCTTTACCGACTAAGGTGAACTCGTAATAGTTTCAAGCATATCAATTTGACAAGAATAATACTTCGTCTTTTTGTGGTTCATGTGTGCTTAAGAGAGCGAAAATACATAAAACATCATTCAGCTGAGAGAACGAAACTTCATCGCAAAGATAATAAGACGTTATAGATGTAGGAATAGATGCCCGAAAATTATGACACGTAGCTACACCTTTCAGCATACGGATATTTTCCTTTAAATGACAAGATATTAGATTGATAAAATCTTATCATCTCCAACATGCATGTAAGCTACTTACATTGAGGTCGTACATTGTTGTTTTATCGTTTACATAGATAAAAATGAACAGAGGTTTTGGAGGAATAACAAGTAAAACTACATTATGCAATATACGGTGAATACCGTAGAATTCGGGTCAGTCAGTCAACTACTACGTAGAACTTTGTACGTGCATACATCAGTTCAAGTTGTCATACCACGATAGCACAGAGATACGATTGTCAATTTAAATCCCATAGTGGAAGATGTAGTAGAAGTATGAGCCATAATGGAGAAGAATAGGGATCGAATAAGTTATTTGAGAAGTATAAGCCAATGAAATAAACTTAAAAACAGAAAGATGAGGAATTCAGATTAGAATTTGAGAGAACACAAGGAGTGGATGCACCTGCGCGTCACAAGCTTACTTTCCAGCAACCAACTATAATTATATTCCTCGACCGAATGATTTTTTTCTGTGTTCATCATTAACATTCGTAGTGAAAAAACACATAAATCTCGTAACGCGCATTCTAACAAAAAATTTAGTTGAAACAAAATGTATGACAAACTTTTATCGTTATTTCCGACCTGGAATGTTATCCTTCAGGATTGCCCATTACATCTCCTTTCTCATTTAATTTCGTCTCTCCGGAGATAACACTTCATCCATATATGTTTTCAGCGATTAACTTCCCTTTCCACAACTCACTAATCCACCAAAAGTAGGCAGATAACTTGGCAGTTTCAATGAACACATTACTATAATTCGAAGTCTCTTGTATGCCTTTCTGTCTATTGAAAGACAAAATGTTAATTACATACTGATCCGATTCTACTCAACAATTTAAACAACCGGATTGAACTGACCATTATAGTCAATTTAGAATTCTCATCAATATCTTGATGGGTGGTCGTATCATGTGATTCAATAAAGAGATGTTTTGATCATTAAGTGTTATTTCAAATATTTTATCGACAATCAATGATCAGGTTTAGTTTTTTCTGACAACTTGCTATTGCGCACCATCAGTCTCTTTTGTTATTTTTATCCCGAAATACGTACATCATTTGAACTGACAACTACGCATCAGTGCTAATGTGGTATGGCAAGCAGTCAGTCAGACAGATGCAACGTAGAACTTCGTACGTAAGTACATCAGTTCATGTTACCATACCACATCAGCACAGAGATATAATTCTCAATTCAAATCCAATAGTAGAAGAAGTAGTAAAGGTATTAGAAGTAATCGGAGAGGTTAGGATTAGAAGATATTATTCAAGAAGTATGATTCAGTGAAATAAGGTTAGAAAGACAAAGGTAGAGGTGCTGACGAATCCAGAAGATTAGGATTTGAGAGAACACAAAGAGTGGATGCACTTGCGCCATTGCAAATTATTCTTAGCCGTGTCGTTCACGGTCTGCAACCATCGATTAATATCATCTCGTGGGCCCCAACCAGGTAGTCGACAACTACCAACATGACTCAATACACTTGTCAGTGACTTCATGGATTTCTGCCATGTTTTGGTTTAGCCACCCATAGCTTTCTTCTAACCTGTTCCTACACTACAAAACAAAGCTCGTCGAGGCCGTCAGTGGTTAGGCATACGCAGCAAATGTCTCAACCACCTCAATTGATGAAGTTTCACCACTTCATCTATTGATCTGCCATTCTTACCTAGTACCCGTTTCCTAATAACAGCGTTGCTCACTCGGGTGTCCGATGATACACGAGCAATACTTCGGAGACACCTATGATCGAAAACCAGTAGCCTACGAATATCTACTCCCACTGGCCATGTTTCACAGCCATAAAGTCGGACGGAGCGAACTACTGCACAGTACACTCGTCCTTTAGTCAGCAAACGGATATCTCGCCTTCGCCATAAGTGACACATGTTTGCAAAAGCCATTCGAGCCTTCTGTATCCGTGCAGAGACTTTGTCAGTCACCAGGCCATCAGCACTGATGAGACTCTCCAGATAAGTGAATCGATCTACACGCTCAACTACTTCACTCATTGTCACTAGTTCAGGTACCGATGCAACCCAATCTTGAAGCAACATTTTGCATTTTGAGGGTGAGAACCGCATCCCGAACATGCTTGCATTGTTGCTTAGGGTAATCAGAAGACTCTGCACTCTATCAGCGTCTTCACCAAGTAGGACTATGTTTACTCCCTGTCCACTGGGCTGTCGAACTCCGTCATCAGCCGCTCGGTGACCGTCTCCCACGTCGTCTCCCCGCCAGCACCGTCCAAGCTGTCATATACGGCCTTTGCCCAGCCTCTCAGCAGCGTCCCCAGCACCACCAACTTCGCCTTCGGCTCCTTCACACCCACCAGCTCCGCCACGGCCTCAAACTCCTTCAGGAAGCTCCGCACCATCGATATGGCAAGCTGAACTGATGTACTTACGTACAAAGTTCTACGTTGTAACTGACTGACTGACTGAATAGTCCATCTGGGTGTGTCATGTACCTGTGTGGTTACTTACACCACAGAATCCAACTGTACTATTCACGCTGTAGTGTTAACACGTGGACAATCGTCTCTTTGGTTCTCTTAAAAAATCAATATAAAATTATTTATGTAAAAATTACTGCATTACAAACAAAAAAACAAACCTTAAAGTATTCTTCTTTGGCTTCATCAATCAATTCAACAAATCTGGACATACCGTCACCAGTTAATGATGAGATACCACAACAACGTAGTGTACTATAGAATTCATCCAATACTAATGACATGGAATGAACTAAACTATTCATATATGGTGATGTACCAGAACACGAATTATCATTGCCTAATTCTGATGGTCCATCAACAGTGGACTGATGATGACCAGCTGCTAATGCATCTTGAAATGTTTCAAAATCTCTCATCCATTGAATAGCAAAATCACAATCGATAATGTCAGTCTTTGTAAAAAGATTTAAAAAAAAAAGATAATGAGCATATATATACATATATACGGTCGATACGCTGAGAAATGGAGACAGACATGAGGAGAAGAATGAACAACAATTGGACAGAACTACAAAAGGAAGGTCTAGGACAGAGTAAGTTGGAGAATGCAAGTCAGCGCGGCATATACAACAATCACCTTTACATTTGTACATTATGGAGGAACATAAAATGTGACTCGTTTATATTTCATTTTGTTATTGGTCAGATTGTAGTGAAGGAGAACACAGGTGATGGCAACCGAATTTTGTATTTAACGAAAATTACAGAGTTACTCAGTAAAATAGGAAAACCATATCGTAAATTGTTAATTTACAAATCTTCAATCCATCATCAATCCATCGTCTGACATTTCAATCACTATTCATGCGTTTCATAGAAATTCCATTGTGTTCCCCCCACTCTTCCTTTCTTGATCTTACCTCATCTTCTGCTGCCAGACATTACGTTTACACTCGCGTCATATACTACTTATAAGTAGCGCGCACCACAATCGTCCCCCGTTTACTAGTTCCCGCTGGTCGGACTCGACGGTAGGCACACTCTCGATAAATTGCGACGCCAACAACTGTGCCCCCGACTCCCCATCCATACTCGGCAGCGCACGGCGCAGCAACATCGTGAGCTCCACAGCCAGCACCAGTGGGTCACAATCGACAGACAACCTCGCCAACCGGAACCTCTGCGGCGCCTCCTCCCTGTCCAGTGGGCCGACGAACTCCGTCACTATTCGCTCCGTGACCGTCTCCCACGCCGTCTTCCCGGCGGCACCGTCCAAGCTGTCATATACAGCCTTTGCCTCACCTCCCCGCAGCGTCCCCAGCACCACTAACTCCGCCCCGGGCCCCTTCACACCCACCAGCCCCACCACGGCCTCAAACTCCTCCAGGAAGCTCCGCAAATCTCCGTCCTCAAACTCCTTCGGCCACGGGAGCTCCTTCCTTCGTGCAGGCAGCGACACCAAGTGTAGTGAAGGAGAACACAGGTGAGGGCAACCGAATTGTATTTAACGAAAATTACAGAGTTACTCAGTAAAACAGGAAAACCATATCGTAACCGTTAATTTGCAAATCTTCAATCCATCATCAATCCACTGTTTGGCATTTCACTCACTATTCATGCGTTTCATACAAATTCCATTGTGTTTCGCCCACTCTTCCTTTCTTGATCTTCCCCCATCTTCTGCTGCCAGACATTACGTTTACACTCGCGTCATATACTACTTATAAGTAGCGCGCACCACAAGATGGGTTTGATTAGAACATGTTTCATAAGTATCGAGACTCATCAATAAGGCGAATAGGGACCGCTTACATTAAATAAATGTTCACTTAGATATTTCCATTTATATCCCTCAACATTTTTAGTGAGTTTTTTGATATTACTTAATAGAAGTAATTAGTATATATAGTTTTGTAGTATGGGGTTGTGGAGATTGTTGAGTTACTTATTGATATCATGAATCGATCAATGTTAGAACACAGTTCGAAACCTGGAAGCACTGGAAGGTCATTACGTCCTCGTTTGGGACTCATCAGCAGTGAGCGACCACGACTCCCACACCTCTCAGGATTCGAACCCAGGACCTACGGTCTTGCGCGCGAAAGCCTAACCTCTGGTGGTCTAACATTGATCGATTCATGATTTCAATAGTTTTATAGATAAAAGGTGAAAGCAAATTGACCTTCTTCGAAAAGATAGTGATAAAATAGTGTTGAACACTGTTTTGCCAGTTCACAATAACAAAGAGTATAATAGATTCTATTGTAAATCGGGTTTGAATAGTTAGCTGTAAGAATTAGAGTAATGCCTTCATTATTGTCTGGTGATGAACTTTTTAATCTAATTATGAAATCTGAACTGGCTAAATGATTACCATGTTTAAAATTATATATATTAGAAACTTTAAAGCACTGGAAGGCCATTTCTTCCTAGTATGGGGGACTCACCAGTATTGCGTATCGATGCCCCAGCACATGGGAATCGAACCTAGGGCCCTCAGTGTCGTATGCGAACGCTTTATCTCTAGATCGCTGGGCCGTCATCCAACGGTGTTAATTTATAACTTTAATTAATTAATCCAAGGTATCGGTGAGTGTTGGTGGGACACAGATGGAATAAAAGCATAACTATGTTGCTGCACGCTGATTGGCTAAGTCTAATCCAGTCGATCACGTGAATTACTATCCAGAAGCTTCTCATGAAAATACTATAAAGAATCTAACGTTGTATCTACTTCGCCTTCGCCATCACTTTTGGCTTCTTATTTCCATTTAACCTTGCTATTTGGAATATAATCTTTTCCTGTTCAACCGTGTTTTTTGATTCTTTGAAACTTGTCCAGTGTATTGTGGTCAGAGAATACTAAGCAATAAGATTTAGCCGGGAATTATCTAAGCAAGCGTTACAACAGTGGGTAACTGACCACACCCAACACGGTTGGACTCCATTGGTTACAACTTCTCACTAGAACTCCGAGGGTGTGCACATGAAGCTAGCATTCCAGCGCCAAAAAACCGAAGGTCTCGGGTTTGATTTCTGTGAGCGGCGATCATAGATACGCATTGCATATGAGTCTCATACTACCCACAAAACAGCCATCCTGTACTTCCAAGTTTCTATTGGTAGTCTAACAATGATCGATTTACAAATACTAGTTTCAAAACACAAAGATAATTAATGATAGTATAGAGGAATAATAAAGATGATATCATGTAAATAACTATCATTTCTTAATCTACACTAAAATAATGCCTTGATAAATTCGAAAACCTATATTAAACTGAACTGAAACAAAGAATCATAAATATATCAATAATAATAGCAATGATACAATACTTACTTTATTAAGAACCAATATAAATGGAAGTTGCATTTTATACAATACACTACATGCATATAGCATATTTGACATAAATGTAATCGGATTATGACTTCGTGGTGTATCCATAACATAGACAATTAAAGTAGGAAAAGAATTACCCTAGAGAGAAAACAAAAACAAAACATAAATCTTTGTTGAATCATAATCTCGTATAAAACTTACTAATAATTCTGTAATAATAGTTCCTGATGCAGACCATGTGAATACTTCAATTTGTCCAGGTGTATCAATTACTACATGTGAAACTTTGCCAGTATTCTTATGTATAAGATCAATAACTTTATGAAATTGTGAAGCGAAAAAATTTAACGATGTCATAATTGCACCATTTGGTCCATAACCATATTGTTTCATTACTTCTTTAAATTTAACTGAATCACGTATATCTGTTGGTTTTTGAGAAATTGAATGATCAATAGAAAATTGAAACTTACCAATATTAGGACTATAAGGAATATGATGAACTGCTGGATCTAAATTAATTGTATATGGTGAAGTTTTTAATGAATTAGTTAAATGTTCAATTAATTTCTTGACAAATGTTGTTTTACCAGAACCAGCCATACCAAGAATAATTAAACATATTGGTTTAGTACGTAAATCTTGTTCTAATTGTTCATTCATGATTGAATTGAAACTATGAAAGTTAAAAGCAGAAAAGAAAAAGAAAAATAAAGAACTAGTAGTGACGTGATAATGATATGATCAGTGATTAAAACAAGGGAATTATGAGTATAGATTTAAGGGTTTCAATAGTAATCTATATTACTTAACATGTGAAATCCGTAGGTTACTACTAGTCTTCGATCATCGATGTCTCCGAAGCATCATTGCTCGTGTATCCTGGGACAACCGTATAAGCCATGCTATCGTTAGGAAACGAGTTCTAGGTAGGGATGGCAAATCAATAGATGAAGTAATGAAACTTCATCAATTGAGGTGGTTGGGACATGTGTAAGGTATGTATGCCTAACCACCGACTGCCTCGACGAGAGATGTTTTGTGGTGTAGGAGAACGTTGGATGAAACATGGCAGAAATACACGAAGTCACTGACAAGTGGACTGAGTCATGTTGGTAGATGTAGGCTACCGGGTTGGAGTCCGTGAGACGAAAGTCACCAATGGTTAGAGACCTTGAACGACATGGCTCAAAATCGTTTACAGTTGCGCAAGTGCACCCACTCTTTGTGTTCTCTCAGATTCTGACCTGAATTCCTCATCATATATATCTTTCTCCCTCTAAATTTATCTCACTGAATTATACTTCTCGAACAATTTCTTCGCTCCCTAATCTTCTCCATTTTCGCTAACACTTCTACTACCGCTATCACTCTTGGATTTGAACTGATAGTGAAGTCTCTGTGTTAATGCAGTATGGACACTTGAACTGAGGTACACACGTACGAAGTTCTGCGTTGTATCTGTCTGTGTCTGTCTTATGAAAGTAACTGACACATGGTAGCTTGATTTGCTTAAAACAATTGTTTTCGCACATTAAGAGAACAAAACAAAGTGATGTTATTTATCTATTACTATTACACGAGAATCAAGACTCAAGTTGGGTCAGATACAGCCAAATTTGTAGACTCACCAAACTATTTCAACGAGGTCTACTTCGGTGATATTGTCACCAACACTTCACAGCCACACTACTGAAATAACAACTAAAAGGTTAGTGTTTAACTAAGGTTACCGTTTTTTCAATTACTTGGCAGCTTTATACCTGTCACCAAGCCCTGATAGGTTACACTTATGGTTCGTCACTCCTTGGGGACATGAATTCGATAGCATACATTGTTTAACATGTATCTTATCAAAACTCAATCCCCTAGGAATTCTAACAATCCTATTGTTAACCCTTTATTTAAGTTTGGAAATCAACAAATTGTGCCAAACTGCTGGACTTTCAATCTAGTCAGCGTAGTAGTTCAGGCAATAGAAATAATAAACCAAATAGTATTGTGTAGCATTAAAACTTCGGATAAAAACGGTTTCGGAATAGACAATCATGCGTAACCAACTTAAGTGCGAAAAAGTTTGGACAGTGGTGTGCCCTGATACACAATTTTATGTCCTTTATTTTTGTATCGATAAGCTATTAGAGCTGTTCAAGTCGTCGAAACTGTTGTTTGAAGATGTCAAAGTCTGTAAAACAATACGTCCTTAGGTCGGTCGTCTGGATCTTCAAGTTGATTTGGATGTAGTGAAGTGATCTTTGTGTTGAGGTTTGAAGATAAGCTCTGAGAAGAACGCGCTAATGCCTGTTGAACATATGAGTAATCATGACATCATTACCAATGTCACATCATCTATGTACTTTCAAGAATAAAAAGCTTACATACAATAGTGAGCCAAGACAACTGACCATTGCACTGCAACGGCTGCTGTATGTTTCTGAGCGTTGGGTTCATTTAACCGAGTATTCAAATTTTGTGACAAAATTATTTCAGACTATTTTGGATTTCACTTAGAATACTGAATCCAAGTATCTATATGGATGCTTGCAATATTTCATGCCTTATTTGGGATGTTAACAGATTGAAGTGTGTTTAATGTCTGGAAACTAAGCTAGTGGCCGCTCTTTCTGAACTTTCTTATGATAAGCGATTATGACGCTCAAATCCTTTGCCCAGTTCTTATTATCGCAGGTTCTAAAATATATTTTAGTATTCTCTAGAACTAGTTATTTCCAAAGCAACTGCAGTCGCGAATTTTCGGGAAGCCTCTGATTGGTACTTCTCAAGATTTCCCCAAATTTTGAATTTTCTTAAAGATTCTCGCGTTTCGAATCTTGATTTATATTCAACTAACCTATTTTACATAGAGATATATAGTTAGAATTAGGTCAAGCGTCAAAATAGGATGTAATGAATTTATTAGCTCAACGAAAACAACACTTGCGGAGACTTCCATTAAATGATGCTACGAACTTACCTCTAGCACAGCCTGTAAGTCAAATCACTACTCTTCCGTGCACGTGACCTTGAGAAAACTGATTGCAAGCGGACAAGTTCACTCAAATTTCCCACGCCTGTGAAGGTTGTACATTTTCACTTGGTAATACCACCACTACTACTATTACTACTCTGTTTAGCTGATGATTTCATTGTAAAGGACATTCAGAAATGTTTTGACAATTGCATATACCTGGTATTAGAGAATTTCAGTCAGTTTGATATAACCAGATACTAATTTTCTTCTTTTTTAACAACATGTAAAGGTAAACCGGCATCGCTCGTTGGTTTAGTTAAGAACAATACTTTAATCTCAATCCACTTAAAGTTAGGTATTTTAAGTAAGCATTTTGACCAAGGTTATACTCTCATAAATCCATCTTAGGATCTCGTCAATTACCTTAAATGGAAAGAACTCCGTGTCGTTGATGAACGAAAATCTTTGTTTTTAATTATAGGAGGCTAACCTGTTATTCTAGGATTATCAAAAAACAATGTATGCACTTCCTTGACATATCAACTTTATCTACTGAGATGAGTTTTTGAGCAAGGCATATCATTTCAAAAAATCCCTCTATCTAGTATTGGATTTACTTTTTATTACGGATAGTTCAACTCAACTTTTGGACCTGACAATTAAAAAGCTAACATCGACGCGCGGCATTTCGGGAGTTGTTGTATCTTATTTCAAGTGATTTTTAAAGCTAAAATGCTAGAGTTCGAAAACTATATTGAAATTAAGAACTTATATTTAATTACGTTTTTATAGGTTTACTGTGATGACGTACATTAAATCCCTTGATAAGATTCAGACAAGCAACACATATATGTTTATTCTAACTGATACGCAGGAAGTACGCACTTAACTCTCTATATTGCAAAGCTATGTTTCCCGTGAATGTGGAAACAAAGACTTCTACATGAACACTTAATTTTAGTTCATTTTCCCTCAGCAAACAGTATCTCACTGGAACGTGAGACGTTGTTCTCGTGTGTACCTTGTGAGCCTGAAAGCTCATCCAAAATCCAGGGCAGCACGGTCTGCTAGTCTGGATGTGAGATCACAATCCCATCCTTAGATGGTGCAGATGACGCATGCTGTTGACTGGGACATGAGAATGAGGTCTTTGATATATCTAGCGTCGAGTCCGAAGGAGACATTGAGATTTCGCTCGTAATTTGAATCAGTCCATCATTGAATCTCGATTTATCAGGTAGAGCACCGTCATTTATATGTGATGGTATAAGACTATCAATGCTGACTGCGTTCATCAACCTTGAAGGCTTTTTCGTGACGAAAGTTCACGTGAAAAGATCTTTCGTAGGGCTGTTGCGTACAGAATCTACTCGAATGAAAACATATGGGCAGGTACACAACTCTCGACAAAAAACCACCTGTAGATGTTATATTCCAGTTCACACCGGAGGCAGTGTTCACATCTACGCAGAAAGTCGTTGCACGTTATATGATATGCATAAAATTGCTGTCATGGTGTGAAGAAATCACCCAAGCTGATGAAATTTCGTGGCGTATACGAGTTCAGAGGCGGAACACTTGATATCTGCCGTTTCTGTGTTGGAATCGCCGTATCATCTCCAACTAATGTTATCCTTTTTGCGAACCAAATGGAGAGAGGAGGCTCAAAGTTTATGAGAAAGGCGAAGTATTGCATGTAGCAAGTGAACTTTCAAACTCACTCTTGGTGAAAACTGATTTGTCCAGTGCTAGTCAGTGAGGATTTGTCGTGACCGGGGGTCTTCAGGTGACGATATGGCTAACCGCATAACTAACCACTGATAGAATCTCCTCGGCTTAGTTACTTTGAGGAACTTATCAACAATAACATAAAATAAATGATCACACAGAAAAAAAATACACCAGTGATTTATTACGCGTCTGTGAGGGCATTAAAATCCATGGATTTAATATTAACTTCAGCCTACGTGAATCGGAAAGCGATTCATAGAGCTGTATGGAATTTATATCGACTACGGCTATGAGGGCATCAGCAGAGGTGAACATCCACAGATACTGTCGTCGATTATCCTGGTTGATCGTTAGCTGTCGTGTACAGTAGGTAGGAGTGACAGAGCCATTCGCAGAGCTTGGTCGAAGCATCGTAGCTTGTGACTTGCAGCTACCAAACAATACTACAGAAACGTAGGCCACCAAATACCTAGCGTTAGTGCGAAACTCGTACACGTAGACTAAACGAGCAACTGGAGGTGACGGGAAGGAAACAGGTGAAAATGCAATGACTTGCACCTGGCCGTCTATTATATTATAGCTATTGCAAGTATAATATATATTGAAGGATGGTAATAATAGCAACATGATAAAAATGTGATAGGTGAATAATAGACCTGCCGTAACAGACTTCTTTGGACGAAACGTCAGCTCACCAATTTTAGTGGCGATGGAGTCGAGATTGACAACGATCACTACTAAATACCTATTACGACCCTGTCATTAAGAAGAAGAGTTATTCCACAGTAAAGAATATATTTGCTGGCGATTTTGTGGTATCGAAATGATATCGAAACTGTGCCGGAAAAGATGACCGAAATTAAAGAGACAGTGGGGCCAAAGTGGCAGCAACTCAAACTGAATTTTTAGCGCACAGAGTGTAATAAACAAAAAGCACAGAAAAACAATCGCTGGTACAATCGGTTACAATAATGGATGTTTTTATTAAAGCAATAGCGCTCTCTTTATGAAATTGGAATCTATACGTGTGCGTGGTTTTTAACCATTGTAAAATCCTATACTCGCATTTACATGAACCAACTTGAATCACTGATAGGCAAACAGGGTATTTGGTTACAAATTAGTAAACATTCTTAAGGTTTAGTAATGAGGTCGAAATCAACAGGCCTCTTAACACCAAACATATACATAAAAATGGCGCATTCATGTTTCCAACCATCATTAGCATATTACCTACTCCGTAGAGTAATGTAATGAGTAAACGTTATCTACTATAGAGTAATTTAAGCTGTGCATACTTGTCGAATCTCGTTGAATTTATTTTCAAACTCCCCCTAAATTTAGGACCTTTTGAAAAGCACTGTTTATTGAAAACCAACTCTCAGGTGGACAGAAACCATCTTCGAAACTCATGATGCAATAATAATGGCCGTAGGTAGAAAACACTGAAATACAGAAGTAAAAATATTTGTTTTGTCAGAAAATGTGAGGAGATACACCGTGTGTGCAGATATTCCAACATTAAAATGTCCTCTTCTAGATATCTAGCAGGTCCAAATTCCAAATGGCTAAGAAATCAAAATAGCCTGCGCAAAAGCGAACCACGTAATATTTCTCGACTTTGCAAAAGCCTTTGACACAGTATCCCAAGCACGCCTAATCGCAAAGAGTGTAGAAATGGGCTTCACTGGAAGACTCGTATATTGGCTCAGAAATTACCTTGAGGATAGAAAGTTTCGTACCAGGGTAAATAGAATGCACGCGAGCTGGCGAGTATCCATATCGGGAGTTTCACAGGGGACCATCCTAGGCCCACTTCTCTTCCTGATATTTGTTAACGACCTGTTAGGCTCAGTTAGCTCAGCAGCATTGATCTACGCAGACGATGCTAAGAATTGTAGGTCCGCTAGAAGCGAAGAGGATTTGGCTGAGCTTCAAAAGGACCTTACATCTATTGAGGAATGGGCGGTGAAAGACTGTTTTAAACTCAACCAACCGAAGTGCCACGTCATGCATATTATGCCTCACACGAATCAAACGATCTACACGCTCAATAGAAGTCCGCTCCCTAATGTCTCCACAGAGCGCGACCAAGGCAAATGCGACTCTTCACTTTCTGCGAAAACAACTTGATGCTATCACCCCAGAATTATTCTTAACATTATTTAAGACGTATGCGCGTCACACCTAGAGGATCACAACGTCATCGCACCCCGTCTTCCTAAAAGAGACATAAATCTCTTGGATCGAGTGCAGAGACGAGCGACGAAATGTGTGATAGGGTTGAAAAATAAGCCTTATGATGATAGACTCCAGCACTTGGGGTTATTGTTGGGATAGTCAATCGAGAATAAAGCCACGCATATTGTGGATTTAATGAACTATTTGATTTTTGTTCATAATAAACCATTTCATTAATAATGAACTATATGATTAATGTTCATGATAAACTATTTCATTAATGATGAACTATATGATTAATGTTCATGATAAACTATTTTATTTATGATGAACTATATGATTATCGTTCCTGACGAACTATTTGAAGCATGTTCAAATAATTAACGACTTTTATATAATTGTATAAATACGCATGTTTGATTGTATATTTTTGATTCTGACAAGAAGTGTTCTACCACGTCTTCCGTCTTCTTTCTTTGAACGGAGGGGTCTAACGTTCGGGTGTCATTAGTACGGTGGTTGACGTTACATCAAGTACAAAACATAAAAGTTATTCCCATTTTGATTATGGCGTACAACATATTAAGCACGCCAAACCATTCCAATGTGAGCATCTTACAAATGCATCCCTACCACTCCCCTAGAGGGAATCCTCGAAAGATTGCACATCAAAGAGGGAATGCTCAGGGTGGTGTAAACATTTTCCTATTGCGAGTCGTGGCAACTCGGAATGCTCTTCTAGCCGAGCTGACCACAGCCTCCTTAGTAGACAGCTTTAAGAAGAGACTTGATAATCACGTAATCACATACGGATTATCATCTCCCTCTTGGACAAGCTATTCATGATGCATATCTTAAGACCTGCTAGTTGTTATCACTGCCATCTCCCCAGATCACTCAATTAATCTATCTCACCCATTATCTATGTTTCCTCTCCCTTGCTTACACTTCGGTCCTCTCTCACAATCTTCACTATTAATCAATAAACTAAATCATCTATATATTTCTTAGATCTGAAGTTTTATTCATACTAGCATTAGAGTTTTATCCTTATTGTCCTTATTACTCTCCAAATTGCAACTAACTGATCTCCGGTCTGATAATGTGACAGCTTCTGCTATCCAGAAACCCTATTGCCCTGAAACAAACGTTTTCATTCAAATTCCGAGACATACAAACTCACAACCACCTGTCAACTGACTAGAATTAGACAGTCGAGTGGCTTGACCACCATTCATTGGACACTACCGAACACCTGGAACTGTACCGTAAGAACAGGGATCGAGTGCAAAGAAATCGAATGGTTTATACTAGCTCGTGAAAAAGATATTGGATATTGGACTCATTCAAAAGTGTAGTGTACGTTGTCACCTTGGCCTCCCAAGGTCGTGTCTTAGGTTGTTATCCACATTGCAACTAACTGATATCCAACGTGGTAATGCGAACAGTGACGGCGTCTAGGAATCCTACTGCCATGAAGCAAACAAGTCACTGCATATACTTATTCATCCAGAACTGCTCATGTGACTGCACTATCACTCATCGGACATTAGCAAATACCTGAAACGCTACCGAAACAATAAGAAGCTAGCTCAAAAAGTCAATCGGCTTATACTAGCTCATGGAAAAGATATCGGGTAGTGGCGGGTATTCCATAATATAATTGTTCGACGACGTTGCAGATATCAGTCATTTACGATTCCAGTATACTCTGATGTTTATAGGCTTTACTGCCGTAGTTAATAAGTACATATATATTGAATATGTTGAACAAGACATCAGCTAATGCTTTTTCTATCTTCGATATTATATTCCAGGTTTATTGTTCATGCTCTATTGTCCTAACAATACTGTGCAATTAGATGTTACTTTCTAGCATAGAAACCATGGAAATTCTCTTTGCTATATATGTCACCATCTTAGTTTTCATCTGTCCTTACACAAAAGTAGAAGAAAGTTTTGGTATACAGGCATTACACGATTTGCTTTATTTGCAGACTAACACAACTATGGTATGTTTCTGATATATTTCTAAATTAAATTTGTAGTATGATCATAAGTTTTTTCCAGGTGTTGTACCAAGATCATTTCTGGGTTGTTTATCTGTTGCCTCGATTGCATCACCACTAGTTTATGTCAATTCTTTGTTAGGAATGCATAAGTTCATTGCTCAATACATTGGTAATTCATTTAACTAACTTCATTGTTTAGTTAGAATATGCTTAGGATTAATAACAGCCATGAGTTTAATCAATTTTGCACGCTGCGTGAAGAAAGTCTTCGGTAAACATGTATACCTACGTCTTCTTATGATATGCTGCAGTCAGTTCCATTTGGCATTTTATGCTTCGCGAACATTACCAAATACATTTGCTTTCATACTTGGTACGTTTTATTCATTGATTATTTAGATGTTAAAGATAGTTTGAACAGAAAGTATTTCTTTACATTAATTATTCATCATGACTTAACACTAATATCTGAGTTTTGCAATTAAAAATAAGATCAGTACCAAACAAGTCGTCCTTGTCCAGCTTAAAAGTATATCATTATGTCTGTTAGGAAAAGAGCAATCAGTTAGAAACCCAATGGGTGCTTAATTAAATCTAAATATTACATAATTAGTAGTCTTAACTTGATAAAGAACCAATGAAAAAAAAACTCTGCTAAATATGTTTGTAAATCTGTTTCTCTTAAACAAAGTAGTAAGAACTACTTTTTTACTTTTCTAACAAATCTTTTCACATGTTCGCTTAAGTATTAGCTAATGTGTAACCAGCCATATAATTTAGTCATTTTGTGAAACCATTCCTGATGTTGGATTTTAACTGTAGCCCAACTGATGTGCTGTTGAAGTAGTACAAATAATTATGAATAGAATAGAAGAAGCTTTTGCTTAATGAGCTTCCGTATCAGGTAGTAGTCTGTCGCCGATGCCCCCCAGGTATGGGTCTTAGTACATTCCAAAAGAAATATATTTACTATTTGTATTGGAATGCTGTTTCAAATCCCTAAGAATATGTCGCGTTTCCACTTGAATGACTCCTAGAAAGATGCTTGAACTGCCTAGGTCGACAAAAAGTCCCAGGATTTTACTCGTAAGGCATAGAACCATATGCTTACAGTCCATTCAGTTATGTTGTGCCTCTAAATTCCGGGTGTTGTCTCTGAGGCTTGTGTTAAAACTGGGCTTAAGTAAGTAATTTGGGGTTGCCCCGCGAGTGTTTAGTAGGTTGTAGATCATTAAATGTTCTTTAAACATACATTATATATATTTTCTGAAAATCAGTGTGATGTGAACTAGCTTCCAGTTTTGGGACTATGCCTTGATTTGGCAAATGTGGAAATGTTAATTTTTATTTTTACTAAAATATAAATATTGGTACAAATGGAGCACCTGAATATTTGTGAGCTGGCTTGGGATACTGCCCAGATGCTCAAAACAAAGCAGGTGGTTTTTTTAGGGGGTCGACACGCCGAACCTTTGACCCAAAAATCAAATCTACATGACAGTGGAGTAATGTTAGGAAATGTAGTCCCGTGGTAGCCTGTCACAAGCAATAGATCCATGTACCATTCGTTCCATCAAGATCCGATAGCTCATGTAGACCATTGATATTGGAATCAAGGTTTTCAACTCCCCTACGTGGATCTTCTTTTTTTACTGAATATCGGATATGATATTGGAACATTAAATGACTTAAAAACTCTTCAAAATCATTTTTCCTATTCTAACTAACAAACAGTTCGACAAATTTCAGAATTATACGTTCCGTACGGATATCCATTCTTCACTGGGTCTTGGAACATAAACATACATACCGATGCCCAACTATAGTGGTATTTCTTAACCTTGGGCAGGATTCAACTACTTTGACAGACGTACCGAAGAGGTTAAAAAACTTTGCAGGTTTTCTGTAATCGGACATTCGCTCTTCTGATCAGAGCTTATGGTGGTGACTTTATGATTAAGACGTTCTACAGGTTTGAATGCTGCTGTACGTAGTTTGGTGTAGGTAACCGAGTAGTGCCATTACCCTTTCACATTTACTGTGTGTGGCTCAAACCTAGTGAACGAGTTTATAATGAGCTGTTATCAGGATTAATAATATCAAATGGTATCATTTTTATAGTTTACCACTTTTGTACAAATTTATCATACACATCTTCTTAGAAATAACGCTCTCACCTTCTAGTTTTTCAGGAGATTTACTTGTGTAATAGTGTAAATATAGTTCTTCTTAGTCAAGACTCATAAAATGTACATTCATATCACTTTAAGCAACAATGCTAACATATTCAGAATTCATTTATCCCCTTGTATAAGCCAGCAAAATCTAACACCCTAAGATTATAGACTAATTAAAGATTGTGATAAAACCTAACGTTATTAACGATAATTATTTTAATTACTAGTTGAGGAAGTTGAGGAATCTAATTTTTTTTTAAAAAAGCAACAGCTTTTCTTGTACACTGACTTGAATATCGATTTTCCCCGGTGTTGTTTGTAATTTATTTTATGGTACTTCTATCCCATTATTTTTTTAAATATTTAATGTGTGACCACTTGAAAAAAAACTAAGATCATTTCAAAATAAAATAATGTTCTCAAAATTAAAAAGGAAACCAAATAATCATCAAACTAAACTGCATCCATTTATTATGTAACTCTGCAGCAGCAGCAATGCTCACCATAATTAGTATTTTATTAAATGATGTTCAAAATCTTTAGACCTTGTCAAACCCTATTGTTTTCACTTTGATTGTTTTGAACTTTCTAGTTTCCGAACGGTTCATCACGTGATTATTGGTTGTTTGTTTAGTTCCTCTAGGTGTTGTATTTCATTAATATTCAGTAGAATTTAATAGGGAGCTTGCTAGTTATTAGGATTTCAAGGGTGGGGGGAGTTCCTTTCCATCTCGAATGGCATTCATATGGCCACGCATATAAAGCCATCGCTAGAGACGTCCTAACCAGAAACCGAGTTAGTGGGTATGGAGGGTCTACATAGGGAAGTTGAAAACCTTTATCCCAGGATCTTAATAAAACGAATGTCGTATAAACTTATTGTTAGTGACCGACTACCATGGGACTACATCTCTCTACGTCGATCCACTGCCATGTGGGTTAGATTTTTTGGGTCAAAGGTCCGAAGTGTGGCCCCTAATAAAACCGTGGGCGCCGGGGCAGTATTCCAGCTTATACATAAATTCAATACTTTGTTTGGTGTCCTTTTGTATCAGGGTTGTGAAGATTGTTGAGTTACTTTGAAATCGTGAATCGATCAATATTAGACCACCATTAGAAACTCGGAAGTACTTGACGGTCATGTAAAGCACTGCTCACCGAAGACAGTGGATGAGGTTCCACAAGCCGATGGATTGACCATTGGATGTCGGTTCAGTCAGTCAGTCAGTTTCAACGTAGAACTTCGTACGTATGTACATAAGTTCAGGTTGCCATACTACATTAGGACAGAGACGCAGATGTCCAATCAAATCCCATAATGATAGAGATAGTAGACGTAATAATGGTAGTGAAGAAGACCAGATTTCGAAGATATTATTATTCAAGAAGTATAATTCAGTGAGATAAGGTTAGACAAAGGTAGAGGTGCGGATGTCGGCTCAGTGGTCTGGAGGTTAGGCGTTCTTGCGCAAGGTCCCGGATTCGAATCATGCAAGTAGCAGGAATCTTGGATGAGCACTTTTGATGAGTCAGTCCCATACCAGGACAAAACGTCCGTCTTCCAGTGCTTCCAGGTATCTTTCTAGTAGTGGTCTGACATTGATCAATTCATGATTTTAATATTGATATGTTTAAAATCAATAAATCACCAGTCAGTCAGTTAGATGCAACGTAGAACTTCGTACGTAAGTACATCAGTTGATGTCGCCATACCACATTATTAGCACAGAGATGTAATTTTCAATTCAAATCCAATAGTAGAAGAGGTAGTAAAGGTATTAGGAGTAATCGGAGAGGTTAGGATTAGAAGATATTATTCAAGAAGTATGATTCAGTGAGAAAAGTTTAGAAAGTCAAAACTAGAGGTGTTGAAGAATCCAGAAGATTAGGATTTGAGAGAACACAAAGAATAAATGCACTGGCGCCATTGCGAACGATTTTGAACCATGTCATTCAGGGTCTCTAAACATCGATTATTATCATCTCGCGGACCCCAACCAGGTAGTCGACAATTACCGACATAACTCAGTCCACTCGTCAATGACCTAATTGATTTCTGCAATGTTTTGGTTTGGCCGCCCCTAACTTTCTTCCAACCTACTCCTACACTACAAAACAACGCTCGTCGAGGCAGTCGGTGGTTAGGCATAGGCAGCACATGTCCCAACCACCTCAACTGATGAAGTTTCATTATTTCATCTATTGATCTGACATTCTTACCTAGCACCCGTTTCCTAATAACAGCGTTGCTCACTCGGTTGTCCCAGGATATACGAACAATGCTTCGAAGACACCTATGATCGAAAACCAGTAACCTACGAATATCTTCTACTCCAATAAATCACCAATCATACATATATACATATATATTTATAAATGTTTCTTCTCCCTGTTCTTTTTCTCCCTCTTCTTCTTTAGTCTTATATTCATTGGGTCATCTCATCACTGGCAATCAAACAAAATTTATTGTATCAGCTGGATTTGCAATACTTGTATTTCGTAGTGAATTAATTTTATTATATGGACCATGTGCAGTTTATGGTCTATGGAATGGATTAGTGAAATTCCATTGGAAACTATTTTATACAATCATTATAACAGCTATGATTAGTATTGGTAAATTGTGAAAATTACAATTCATCAACAATATTTTATACCAGGATCTAGTGTTTGCATTGATTCACTATTATGGAATAGATTCATTTGGCCAGAATTAGAAGTATTTTATTTTAATACTATTTTAAATAAAAGTGGACAATGGGGAGTAAGTAGTGTTTGTTGCACTTTTTTTCCCTTTTGTTGTTGTTTTTAAAAAAAATGTGGTTACGACATGTATTTTACGCATGCCCAACCACCAAATGCCTCAGTGAGCGATAATGCTGTTATAATGCTGCTACGTATAGCTGCTATTCAGTCCTAGCGGCGTCCAATTCAAATATCCCAATACGACCCAAAATACTATTTCCAAATCTCCTATATTATATCAGAACGCAACATCGTGGGATGGAGTTGTTTATTGGTTCGAGTACAGAAGAGAGGTAGGCAGGAGAAACGGAATTAGTGTGTGTTTATCCATTAAGGTCGAATAAGAAAGAGCATCAAAGTCTGTGACATTGACAGTTCGGATGACCAATAAGAGACAACATTGAAGTATTTGACTTTGACAGTTAAAATGACCATAATTTTGACCAATAGAAATCGACCAATAGGATTATACTTCCAAAAATAGTACTCTTATGATATTTGGTGAATATCCTAACAGATGCCTAGTATAGAGATAGGCTGGAAGAAATCTAGGAGTGGCCAAACTAAAACATGGCACAAATCCATGAAGTCGATGATGACAAGTAGACTAAGTCATGTTAGTAGGTCTAGTAGACTACCAGGTTGAGGTTCATGAGACAATCATAACCGACCTTGAATGACATGGCTCGAGGTTGTTTTGAATGGCGCGGGTGCATCCATTCTTTATGTTTTCTCGAATTCTAATCTTTGGAATTCCTCATGACCTTTATTTTCACTTTTTAAATTTATGTCACTGGACAATACTTCTCGAATCATATCTTCGATCCCTGATCTTTTCCATCACTGCTAATACTTCTACTATGGGATTTGAATTGATGATTCCATATCTCTCTGTGCTAATGTAGTATGGCAACTTGAATTTGATGTACGTAAGCACGAAGTTCTACGTTTATAGATAACTGAATGATTGGGATATCATTATAAATTAACTTGAAGACGCTAACAAAATACAGAGTCTTCTGACCACCCTAAGCAACAATGCATGTTCGGGATGCGGTTTTTCCCACCGAAATGCAAAATGTTGCTACAAGATTGGGTTGCATCGGCACCTGAACTAGTGATAGGGAGTGAAGTAGTCGAGCGTGTTGATCACTTCACTTATCTGGGGAGTCTCATCAGTGCTGATAGCCTGGTGACTGACGAATTCTAAGCACGGATACAGAAAGCTCGATTTGCTTTTGCCAGTTTACGTCGTTTATGGCGTAGGCGAGATATCCTTTCGCTAACCAAAGGACGAGTGTACTGCGCGGCAGTTCTCTCCGTCCTCATATATGGCTGTGAAACATGGCCGTTAAGAATAGAAGATGTTCGTAGGTTACTAGTTTTCTATCATAGATGCCTTAGAAACATTGCTCGTGTATCTTGGGACACCCGAGTAAGCAATGCTGCAATTAGGAAGCGAGTACTAAGTAAGGATGGCAGATCAATAGATGAAGTAATGAAACTTGATCAGTTGAGGTGATTGGGACATGTGTTACGAAGGCGCAACCACCGACTGCCTCGACGAGTTATGTTTTGTGGTGTTGGAGTAGGTTGGAAGTAAGTTAGGGGCGGCCAAACCAAAACATGGCAGAACTGCATGAAGTCACTGACAAGTGGACTAAGTCATGTTGGTAGATGTAGGCTACCTAGTTGGTTAGAGACCTTGAATGACATGGCTCAAAATCGTTTGCAATGGCGCAAGTGAATTCATTCATTGCGTTCTCTCAAATCGTAATCTTCTGGATTCGTCAGCACCTCTACCTTATCTCACTGAATTATACTTCTTAAATAATAATATCTTCAAACCCTAATCTTCTTCATTACCATTAATACCTCTACTATCTCTACTATCACTATGGGATTTGATTTGACATTTGCGTCTCTGTGCTAATAATGTGGTATGGCAATCCCGAACTTATGTACATACGTTGCAACTGACTGACTGATAAATTCGTTTGTTTTATTATTATTATTATTATTATCTTTCTAAACATGTATATATTTTTATTTTATTGATTTACAGACTTATCCATTTCATTGGTATTTCACATCAGCATTACCAAAATCACTTTTATCTACTTATGTGTTATTAACAACTGTCTGGTTGATGACAATCATTTGCTCAATATTTAAACAAACAACTATTAATGGTTATTCAATAATAATTTATTTACAATCTATTGGATTACTACTTGTTGGTTTAATATTTATTAGTTTATATTCATTTTTACCACATAAAGAATTACGTTTTATTATGTATATATTACCTATATTTAATTTAGTAGTAGCTGACATATGGAATTATATGTAAGTCAATTTATCTGTTTTCTTATGTGAATTGATATGTTTCTTAGTTAAGTTAATTAGTTTGCATGTATATATATATATATATATATATATATATATATATATATATATATATATTCTGTTATAGAGTTATGCAGATTGTTTTTTGATTACTCAAGTTATGAATCAATCATTGTTAGGCCAGCATTAAAAACCTAAATGAACTGGACGGTCGTTTCATCGTGGTATGGCATTGACTCATGTGTATTGGGCATTCACGACTCTCGTGTCCAGTGATGATGTAACAATGATTGACTTACGATTGCAATGTAAAACAACAATCTCCATAACTCTATAATGCAAAAATCATAAAATGTGTTTGACTAGTAACTAGCTAGCTTCATGAGGAAATTCGTTAAATTCTAGTGAGAAGACGTGACCAGTGTGGAATTCAACCTTTCCAGTTGTAGGAAATAACTACCGAAATCAATGGGTGGGGTTTGATTGTGACCAATATGGTCTCGTGTACTGTTATGGGTATGAGGGCGGATGTTACTTCCTAGCTGCCTACACCGTGGAAGGATGTTTCTTGAGAGACCTAAAAAGGAAAGTAGATTAGCGTTGGTCTTAACGACTTGGGAGCATGACCGCAGAGCCCAAGGGACAACTGACAGACAGACAGATACAACGCAGAACTTCGTACGCAAGTACATCAGTTCAGGTTGCCATGCCGCATCAGCACAGAGACGCAACGGTCACTTCAAATCCAAGAGTGATAGCAATAATAGAAGTATTAGTAGTAATGGAGAAGATTAGGGAGCGAAGATATAATTCGATAAGTATAATTCAGTGAAATAAATTTAGAAGGAGAAAGGGATTAAGCGGGATTCAGAAGGCTAGAATTAGAGAGAACACAACGAGTGGATGCACCTGCTCCTGCACCTGCGCCATTGTAAACGATTCTGAGCCATGTCGTTCAAGGTCTCTAACCATTTGTGACTTTCGTCTCGCGGACCCTGACCACATAGCCTACATCTACCAACATGACTCAGTCCACTTTTCAGAGATTTCATGCATTTCTGCCATGTTTCCAACCCTACTCCTACACTGCAAAACATAGCTCGTCGAGGTAGCCGGTGGTTAGCCATAGGTAGCCGTTACAGTGAATTATGTTCGATTTACCCATGGTCCCGCTTCCTTACGACCAATCAAAATTGTTATTACGCAAGCCATGTTATCTCATAGATCGTATATCATCTATTAAAAAGGAATCATTGTTAGACTACCACTAGACACCTGGAAGCACTGGATGGCTCATCATCAGCAATGCGCATCCACGATCCTCGCTCGCTGAAGCCGAACCCAGGACCTTTGATCTCGTGCGCGAATGCCTAACCTCTAGATCAATGAGCTGCCTGCCATCCAAAGACTATGTTCGCTAGCAGGATGCTTAGATGCGCGCACTCCTCATGAGTCCCATCATATTAAGAAGAAACGGCCGTCTTTTAGTGCTTCCAGGTCTTTACTGGTTAGGGTCTCACATTAATCAATTCATCATTTCAATGAAATAATGTCATCTGACCCCAGTTTCCTCCCCCCCCACCTACTTACTGCATTCGAAGATTAAATGTTCAATTTTCTTCTCTTTATCATTTTATTTATAGAGAGAAACCAATGTTAACCGCCAAACAAACATATTTCAATTTAATTCGAAGCAAACATAAGCCAAATCGTATAACAAATTTTCGTATTTTATTGATTTTCTGTTTTTATACACATCTACTTGTTAATATTCTATGTTCCATGATATTGATTATGGCTGCAAGAGAAAATTATCCCGGTGGTGAAGCGTTGGCTAAATTAAATCAAATGAATCGAACTGGTGAGTTCTTTCTTCTCTCTTCTTTTGTTGATATATATTGAGTATGTGTTTTTATCGAACAATCATCATTAGCTAGCTAACCATGATATTCAAGTGGAGATAGTCTTAGTTTTCACATATAAATGTGGGTGGGGGGGCAGGGTGGATTATTAGATACAATAGTTGTGTTCCTGGACCTTAAGGGGGCATTTGACTCTGTGGATCGTGAGGTTCTGTGGCAGTGTCTGTCATTGAAAGGTGTACCACAGGAGGTACATTAACCTCATACAAGCTCTCTACTCGAACACCACTGGTCAAGTGAGAGCTTATGGCGAACTGTCATCGGAATTGTTTACTTCAAGTGGTGTCCGTCAAGGATGTCCACTCTCTCCATTCTTGTTTAATTTTGTCATAGACATGCTTCTAGATATAACATTATCTTCGTCTGAGTTTTCGTGAGTAGACATTCTACAAGGAGGTTCACTGGTTGACTTAGAATATGCTGATGACATAGTTATACTTGGTGGAGACGCTGACAAAATGCAGAGTCTTCTGACTACCATAAGCAACAATGCAAGCATGTTCGGGATGCGGTTTTCCCCCTCGAAATGCAAAGTGTTGCTTCAAGATTGGTTTGCATCGGCACCTGAACTAGTGATAGGGAGTGAAGTAGTCGGGCGTGTAGACCGCTTCACTTATCTCAGCAGTCTCATCAGTGCCGATGACCTGGTGACTGACAAAATCTCAACACGGATACAGAAAACTCGATTGGCTTTTGCCAACCTGCGTCACTTATAGCGTAGGCGAGATATCCGTTTTCTGACTAAAGGACGAGTGTACTGTGCAGTAGTTCGCTCCGTCCTAATTTATGGCTGTGAAACATGGCCAGTGAGAGTAGAAGATATTTGTAGGTTACTGGTTTTCGATCATAGGTGTCTTCGAAGCATTGCTCGTATATCGTGGGACACCCGAGTGAGCAACGCTGTTATTAGGAAATGGGTGCTAGGTAAGAATGGCAGATCAATAGATGAAGTAATGAAACTTCATCAGTTGAGGTGGTTGGGACATGTGTTACGAATGCCTAACCACTGACTGCCTCGACGAGCTTTGTTTTGTAGTGTAGGAATAGGTTGGAAGAAAGCTAGTGGCGGCCAGACCAAAACATGTAAGAAATCCATGAAGTCACTGACAAGTGGTCTGAGCCATGTTGTTAGATGTATGCTTCCCGGTTGGGGTCCGCGATATGATAATCGATGATTAGAGACCCTGAATGACATGGCGCCGGTGCATTTATTCTTTGTGTTCTCTCAAATCCTAATCTTCTGGATTCTTCAACCCCTCTACCTTTGTCTTTCTAAAGTTTTCTCACTGAATCATACTCAATTTCAGCACTAGATAACTTATACGTTTAGAAATGCTTGAAATCATAAAAAGAAAACTTTCTGTTATGAAACTGAAAAGTAAATTTTTAAGATGATGCTTAAGCTAAACTATCAAACTTAACTGCTTTCAAGACAAAGTGTGCATTGAAGTACTTGGTGTGATTCAATGCGTCGTCTAGAGTAATTTAGTGAAGCACACATAATATCCTCTCTCTTTCTAACGATTACTCTAAATCTCAACCATAAATTTGTGAACAGTAGAACGACAAAGCATTTAATCATAGCTGATGATATCAGTTCATGATCAAATACCTTTTTACGACTATAACTGGTCTCAATTAATGACGAAAACTCTCTGCAGTGATGAGCCTAACTTTTCAAAGGTGAACTTAACCCCTTTTCCTTCCACTACAAGGAATAATTCAACAGATTCATCAGATCAGAACTGTGCTAATGTGGTATGGCGACTTGAACTGATGTACGTACGAAGTCCTACGTTGTAACTGACTGACTGAAGCTGTTACTTGTTTTATGACGAGGTAGCATTTCGTGATTACCTGACAGATGGTTGCTCATGGCCAACAGTCTATTATAATTTTATCAGTTAGTTAGTCTTGAGGAAATTCTCGGAGTTCTAGTAAGAAGCCGTCGTAATCAATGGAATTTAAAAGTGTCAAATGTAAAGCTGTCAATGACTGAAGACGATGGAAGGTAATCGTGCAATCAACATCCTGGGTTGATTGAAGTTAGACATTACTACGATTAGATGTCAATTCAGTGGTGTAAAAGTTAAGCGTTCGGGCATGAGAGTGAATGTCCTAGGTTCGACTCCCGCGTATGGGACTGTGCGCATGCGCGCACTCCTGGTGATTCATATACTAGGATGAAAAGGCCATTTAATTAAGTAAGTAATATCTGTTGTAGTCATGAATGAGCATCACTGAAGAATCCTTTGCTAGGATGAAACAGCTATCAAGTTACTTACTTACGTCTGTTACCTCTAATAGAGCATAGTTCACCGAGCAGTGAATTATTTATTTCTGGTTAGTGTTTTGTTAAGCGGTTTGGATTTCTATGGGATGGGGTCGCTAACCTCCATGCCAAATCCTCCTCCTTTATCTGCCGGGCTTAGGACCGGCAGTAACCCTAGGAAGGCTACAGGCGGAGTTGCCATTTATAGTAACCAGCTTCAATATTCAATTCAAATAAATACAATTAAAAACATTCTCACTTGTATTTTCTTTTGGGTTTTTTTGCAGATGTTCATGTTCATATATGTAATTTAGCTGCACAAACTGGTGTAACACATTTTCTAGAAGAGAACGATCAATGGATGTATGTTGGTTAAAACTAAGTAGATCTACGAAGTTTTTTTAAATATTCATTATGCATTATAGCATTACGTAGATCGTTGTTTTTACATATTAAAATAATGAATGAACCATTGTTAGACCACCATTAGAAACCTGGTCGCACTGGACGAACGTTTCGTCCTAGTATGGGATTCATCAGCAGTGCACATCCACGACTCGTTGCTACTCGCAGGAGTTCGACATTAACACCATTATTGGATGCCGGCTTAGTGTGTTTCAGAGGTTAAGCTTTCGCATGCAAGACTGAAGGTTCTGAGTACAAATCTTGTGCGTGTATCAAGAGTCGTAGATGCGCCTTGTTGGTGAGCCCCATATAAGGATGTCAATTGCTTCCAGGTTTCTAATCGTGATCTAACAATGAGTCATTCATGATTTCACTGTGTTATATTAATCGGTCAATTTATTTTGCTTGTTAGTTTTTTTTGTCTCCAATGTTTAAATAATGAATGTAGTGTGTACTTGGTTTTAAGAAAATGTACAATACCCCCTGTGGTTAGATATGATAATGTACTAGATAGAGATAGCAAATTGATGATCGATGAGGTAGTTGGTGTTGATCAACTGACGTAGTTAAAACACATGTGACGACCATGAGCGATCATCTATCAACTAGTCAGGTTACACTGTTTGTCTGTTAATTAGAGGACGAGTTTACTGCACAGCAGTTCACTCGGTCCTAGTTTATGGCTGTGAAACATGACCAGTAAGAGTAGAAGATATTTGTAGGTTACTGGTTTTTGTTCATAGGTGTCTCCGAAGCATTGATCGTATATCGTGCGACAATCGAGTAGGCAATGCTGTTGTTAGGATAAGAGTACCAGGTAAGGATGGCAAATCGACAGATGAAGTAGTCAAACGCCGTCAGTTCGAAGTGATTGGGACATGTGTTACGAATTCCCAACTACCGACTGCCTCATCGAGCCATGTTTTGCGGTACAGTAATAGGTTGGACGAAAGCTAGAGGCGGCGAAATCAAAAAGAAGTCACTGACAACTGTACTGAGCCATGTTAGTAGGTGTAGACTACCTGGTTGGTGTCCGTGAGACAATAGTATCTGATGTTTGGAGACTTTGAGTGACATAGCTCAAAATCGTTTGCAATGGCTCAGATTAATTTTCTTAATGCGAGTAATGATTACTTATATATGTGATTCGTTAGCTAAATGAACTTACTTTTAGACTTTTGACAAAATAGGTTGCCCTATATATATTTTTATCGCTAAAATGATGGATGCTTCCTTGAATTCAATGTTCTTACTAGAGACTAGCTTCGTGAAGAAATTCTCGGAGTTATAGTGAGAAGGCATGACCAGTGGAGCTCAACCCAGTTGAGTGTAGGCACTTATCTACTGAAGACAAATGGTTGATGTTGGGCAAAGCCTTAGATTGATCAGAGCTAGACATTAACACCATTGAGTGTTGAATTAGTTGTGTCTAGAGATTAAGCAATCGCGCACAAGACCGAAAGTCCTGGGTTCGATTCCTGTGAGTAGAGGGTGTCGTGGATATGCACTGCTGATGAGCCTTACACACCAGAACAAAACGACCATCCAGTGCTTCCATATTTCTAATGGTAGTCTAACAATGATCGATTCGTCATTTCAATAATCACACGACCTTTATTGTTTCTTCCGTAAATTTTTTTTCTTTCAGTTACAATAAAACAGAAGGTTTCGAAACGAATTACAGCGTGTTAAACTCATCACAATTTACACATATCATATCAGAATTATCAACAGAATTAATCCAACAAAATTTACCATCTTTTATGCCAATTTTTCAAATTGATTGTTTCAATGGAATACAATTTCGCAGAAATTGGCATTTTTGGAAAATGATTCATTTGAATACAAGACCTTGTTTGTTTGTGTATGAACGAAGAAATAGTGATTAATTCCTTTTTTTACTTTTTTTATAGAAAAAAAATAAGTTTTTTTTTCTCTCTCTCTTTTTATGATTTGATTTTATGAGTTGCATGGGTCAGTCAGTCAGTTACAACCTAGAACTTCGTACGTACGTACGTACGTACATCAGTTCATGTTGCCATACCACATCAGCACAGAGACGCAATTGTCAAATCAAATCCCATAGTGATAAAGATAGTAGAGGTATTAATGGTAATGAAGAAGACTAGGGTTTGAAGATATTATTCAAGAAGTATAATAATTCAGTGAGATAAGGTTAGCAACACACAAAGGTAGAGGCGCTGACGAATCCAGAAGATTAGGATGTTGTGAGAGAGCTCAACGAATGGATACACTTGCGCCACTGCAAACGATTTTCAGCCATGTCGTTGTTCAAGGTCTCTAATGATTGGTGACTTTTGTCTCGCGGACCCCAACCAGGTAGTCGACAATCACCGACATGACTCAGTTCATTTGTCAATGACTTCATGGATTTCTGCCAATGTTTTGGTTTGGCCGCCTCTAGCTCTCTCTCAACCTACTTCTACATCACAAAACATAGCTCGTCGAGGCAGTCGTTGGTTGGGCATCCGTAACACATGTCCTAACCACCTTAACTGATGAAGTTTCATTACTTCATCAATTGATCTGCCATCGTTTCCTAGTACTCGTTTCCTGATGGCAGCATTGCTTACTTGGATGTCCCAGGAGACACGAGCAATGCTTGGGTTTAGGTGAAACAATAAATTGTAATCAATATCAAGTATTACTGCTCATATTAGTTAGTTATATAATGAAGATATAATTGTTTAATATCGAGTTGTGAAGATTTTTGAGTCTCATTAGAATTAAGCAATTACTGGACGGTCGTTAACTCTTAGTGTTATGAAAGAAGGCGGAGGACTTGACGGGATAAGGAATTAATTTGAAGAAGACACAATCTAGTAGACAAAAAGTGTACACCTTATCGTAAAGCACACTACTGTATACCACTTATGAGCTTCATTGTAAGTAGTACACACCACACTTGTATAAGGCTAGTCAGTAGTGCGCACCTACGACCCCGCAAACGAGAATCGAACCCAAAGCCGTCGGTTTCACGTGCACGCTAGCGACCACTTTCTTGAGGAAATCCTCGGAGTTCTGATGAGAAACAATGGGGTTCGACAGTGTTTGTTGTAAGGCAGCTACTCACCGAAGGCGATGGATAATGACTGTGCAATATCTTGGGTTGATTGAAGTTAGACATTAATGCCGCTTCAGTGATCAAGAGTTATACTTGCATAACATCCTAACTATTTCAATTGACGAAAATTTACAGTTTCTGCCTAATACCTTATGTCTAACTTCCTCATTGCTGATTAAATGATCCTAACAGGTACAAGCATCTATTGTCAGATACAAGTAACCTATGAATATCCTCTATTTTTAAAGGTAACTTTTCTCAGCTATCGAACAAAACAGAATTAACTGTTGCTTAGAGTAATCCTCCTCCGATTGCCAGATGGAAAACTCACACCAGTTGATAAAAGCCAACCAAAATTTGGTCAGACATAAACCTGATCAGAATTCTTAAAATAACAAAGTGGTCGACATGCTCAACTACTTCTCTTTCTATCGTTGATTCAAATAATAACCCAAATTAGTCTTGAATCAACAATGTGAATTTTAAACGTAGAAGAACGCGCTTCAAATATACTTGAGTTGTTGGTCAATGAGAGCAGAAGACTGCATTTTGTGAGCATTTTCATCGAGCATATCTATGTCATTTGCATAATCTAAGTCAAGTGAATCTCCTGAAATATTCAACCAATCCATTCTGAGTATAATTTATTAATATTAACTCATTAGTTTTACATTCCTTTTTCTGTTAACACATATCCTTCAGACGCCATTGAACTTGGTAGTACATACAATTAACAAAAATACTTGAATTTGTGGATGGTCTGGTCCGGGTCCCTTAACTGAAGCAGGTGATTTTCTCAGGGAGCTACTACACAAGCCTTCGCAACCTATAGGTCTAATTCACAAGGCAGTGGAACAGAGTTAGGAGATGCATTTTTTATAGTAACCAGCAGTCACTGATAATAGGATGGTGAGGACCACCATGTACACAAATGATCTTGAATCAGTGTTTTCCAACTTTTGCTAGATTCATACTCTGTATTCAGATGTTCGCTTATTGTCCTCTCAAACTTGTAAATAACACCTATGCCACAAAAAGACATTGAGCAGAACTTCCCAGGAAGTGGATCTATTCATATGAGAGCATCTGATGAAGAGGAAGACCAAACCTTCCCCCATTCTTGACCATACCACAGCATTTGTACAAACACCTGTACAATTCGATAATTAAGTTATTTACCGAGAGTACTTTAGGTTAAAGTGTGTATTTTCTGTATATAAAGTCGAAAAAATATACTACTAATAGTTAAAATCAGTCAGTCAGATGCAACGTAGAACTTCGTACGTAAGTACATCAGTTCATGTCGCCATACCACATCAGCACACAGATATAATTGTCAATTCAAATCCAATAGTAGAAGAGGTAGTAAAGGTATTAGAAGTAATTGGAGAGGTTAGGATTAGAAGATATTATTCAAGAAGTATGATTCAGTGAGAAAAGTTTAGAAAGTCAAAACTAGAAGGGTTGAAGAATCCAGAAGATTAGGATTTGAGAGAACACAGAATAAATGCACCTGCGCCATCGCAGACGGTTTTGAGCCATGTCATTCATGGTCTCTAACCATCGATTATTATCATCTCGCGGACCCCAACCAGGTAGTCTACATCTACCGACATGACTCAGTCCACTTGTCAATGACTTCATGGATTTCTGCCATGTTTTGGTCTGGCCGCCCCTAGCTTTCTTCCAACCTACTCCTACATCACAAAACATAACTCGTCGAGGCAGTCGTTGGTTAGGCATACGTAACTCATGTCCCAACAACCTCAACTGATGAAGTTTCACCACTTCATCTATTGATCTGCCATCCTTACCTAGTACTCGCTTCCTAATGGCAGCATTGCTTACTTGGTTGTCCCACGATATACGAGCAATGCTTCTAAGACACCTATGATCGAAAACTAGTAGTAACCTACGAATATCTTCTACTCTCACTGGTCATGAATAGTTAAAATCAAAACATTTCTAAAATAAACTACAGGTCAAGTATTTTCAATTTCTTTTTTAGAACATTGTGTACATGTATAAATAACAGTTTGTCCTTCATCAGCTGAACGTGTTTGTAATGTAACATAAGTCATTCGATCATTACCACAATAAGCACATTCTTTTCTAATTGACGGTCCATCAAATGTCGGTTGTGGTTGTTGTTGTGATTTATCATTTTCATCATATTGTACTTGTAATGCTTTTTTTAAAGCAATTTCTGATCGTAAAATTTTCTTTGCACGTCTAATCATTGATGGATAAAATAAACATGTTGATTCATTTTCATTCTCATTCTGATTATTATTATTCAATTGATTTAACATTGTTTTATTCGATTTAACATCTTTATTAAATGTTGCATCCATATTATTGAACCAACGCATACGCGTAGATGTTTTACATTTACGACATATTAATAAATCATTCATATCTAATTTATGCGGGAGAAGTGTTCCACAAACATAACAAAAATAACGATGAATTCGTTCTAAACCCAATGGTGGATTGGAAGCAGCATGTTTTTGAAGCATAATTCTATAAGTAGAATATGATTGAAGAATAAAAAAATCAGGTAGGTGATAAGTGATATTTGAAACATGGAACATTAGTCGAATGTGACATATTTTTTAACAAATTGTATGAGCTTAAAAAAGATATCCAGAATAATCAAAAACACAAGAATGTTTGAGAGATTAATTTAATTGTTTTTAGTAATTTAGTCAGACTATACAGTTGTAGATATTTATAAACATCGTATTACGTTTAAACTTAATTTATCAAAATGTCACCTACAAAAGACAGAAAATCTATGCATTGTACGATAATCCTCTCGCAATTATTCAACAGATCACGATCTTGGATTTTTAACCGGATAAAGCTTGAATACAAATGATAATCATCAAGAGAAAGTAGCCTAAGCCACTGTTTACTATATTCAAAGACTGATACACCAGACTAAACATACTGATTACTGAGTACTCTAATAAAGCACACATCCACATTTAATGACTCATAATGCTGTAGCACTTTTTTTCCACATAATGGATAGAAACACCTCTTAGAGAAAGTACAGGAACGCACCGGAAAGTGAGTCATAGGATATAAGTGCCAGTCCTATAATTATGGGGTTTTAAAGACCGACTCCGAAACCTCAGATTTTGTCCCTGAGATTACCTTATAATGGTGCAGAGCGCACTCAGTGCTCCTGGATACCCAAATAAGAAGTCCTGCTTAGGTTTCATCACCGTACCTCGAAGTAATCCATGACGAATAGAATGATAAATGAAGTCACAGTTCGTTCTACTAATTGTCAGCTCTATGTGGAATGCCCTCTGAGCTGACACGACCACAGACTTCAGTAGGCGGTTTTAGGGGGATTTGAAGTCAAGTACTCCCCTATAGCTTTATTCCTTCACGCAGGACAGGGGTGGGACTACAATTTATAAACAAACCGATAAGGTCGTCCTCCTACCTAGAACAAACGAACACACTCATTTAGGAAAAATATTAAACCATGATTAACCATTATATATATACATATATATATATGAAGATTATTGTGGCAAACATTTCGTGTTGAAGATTTCATATTGTACTAAGGAGAGAATATTAAAGAATTGATAATTATTATCATTTCTATTAAGTGCCAAAGCTACTAGCTCTCGACAATACTAAAACCTCACCGAAACAACAAGTACTGGAACCAAGAAAATAGTTTCATTCACTTAATCATGTCATAAAGATACTGAATTGTAAAAACCAGATCTCCAGTTTCACGAATCACATATAATAATAACCAATATAATAGAATAAGTCCGATAAAAATATGCCCGATGTAATTTGTTGTTAAACTTAAACTTAATTTAAATCAAAATTGACAAAAGAATCAATAGACCTTAATGACATTAGAAAAGACACAATACATCACTTTTTAAGATGTAACGCACCATACAAACCACCCACTTGAGT